CCAAGCATTTGGTTAGGTTTTGGGGACTTGGGTTTAATACATTCCGTGGATTCTGTATTGTTTGCCATCATACAGGCTGGCAACCAGCGACTCAGAAGTGTACTGTGCAGGTATTGTTCACCGAGACTTGGGTGTTGCCGTCGGTAGCTGTTATCTATTGAAACTTTGACCCCAAAGCAAGACCCTGAACCCTCACGCCTAAACCTAAACCGCAGGGTTAAGTGTTCAAGATTCCGGTCGCTTGCACCGAAGACCAAATTTGCTGAACCCCGGGTTGTTCAGTCGCAATGGTGGAAAATCCAGATCGGCGTCCTTCTCGAAGGAGAGGTCTCAGAAAGCAGGGCCCTAGACCCTCGACCCCTGAACCCTAAACCCCACACCCTAAAACCTCAAACCCTGCGCAAGACCCTAAGACCACAGAGAAGGAATCCCCTAATCTTCAGGAACTCCCGCATCACCGCTTGCAAGAACGCCGTATTTGTAAGGGTTGCTTCAGAGGTTTCTACAGGGGTCACTCTGGGGGTTCTACGGGGTCTAGGGTTTAAGGTTTAGGATTTCGCCTTAGAGTTTGGGGGGCCAGGATACGTAGCCTAGACTTGTGTAGGAGTTGACAATAAACCGTCGCAGAGGTTTAGGACTCGACCCAGAGAATATACTCTATGACCGCTGACGATAGTCTCATCGTTCATCTTCTTCTGGTAGGTTCTGGCAGCGCGAAGACTTTATATTCAATAAGAAAGCCAAGGTTATAAGTACCTTATCTGGGGTTGCAAGTAGCTAGAAGTATAGTTACCTAAATAATGACCCTAGTTACCAAGTCCCATGATCTTAGATAGTACTCAAGTCGTGGCAAAGCCCCCTCTAGACCCTAAACCAACGGGGCAGTCAATATTGCAGGCTCCATAGTGAACATCCACAGCGAAACCTTTAGGGCTCTAGGATTCAATATCTAGGGCCTAGGGCCTAGGGTTTTGATGGGGGCCAAAAGCGGGGTTGAAGATTCTTGGGGTAGGGATTCCTTCATATGAACCCTATTATGGGAACCCTAATCCCTACTAAACCCCCACAGGCTAAAACCCCTTTTGGCCTCCTATGAGGTTTAGGGTTCAGAATGTCTAGGGCTTATTGACTCCGAGATGAGATATGCGAAAATGACTGCTCAAAGTATGTGCAGCCTTATGCCAAAAGGAAACTACAGCACGAGATAATGGCAACCGTTTAGAGTGAGGCGTCTTGCAAGCTTGTTCTCCGTGAGGGAAAGCACCGAAGGGACCGCTAGCACTCTCTTTTGAAAGGGCCGCCGGTTCCCAGTCCGCTCAGGGTCTAGGCGCAGATTATTTTGGGGATTTTAGCGGTTGAGGGGCTGAGGAACTATTCGGGTTTGGATTTAGGGGTATGACTATTTTGGGATTTAGAGGTTGGGGGGTTTAGGCCCGAAAGGGGTTTGGATTTAGGGGTTTAGGGGTATGATTGTTTTGGGATTTAGAGGTTGAGGGGCTTAGGCCCTATAGGGGTTTGGATTTAGGGATTTAGGGCTATGACCCCAAGATTCCAAAGGACACCATAATCAAGTAATGTAGGAACCTGATTAAGAAACCCTCGGCCTATAACCCCAATTGTAGGACTCATATAAGCAACCCTAATAAAGCCCCAAGGCTTCTTAATCAGGTTCCTACATTACTTGGGTTTAAGATAGTAGTTATGTAGGCTCATATTTCGGAGAATATATGATTCTTGGGTACTTGGACCCTTGGGGCTAACAACCCAGATCCGAACTACCAGAAGTCACGAGACCTTGCAGAAAGGGCTTAGGGTTTACGGTTCCCTGCACTCTGAGCCACCGCCCCTCCAAGTTCTGAGGATGCTTTTATGCCGTATTCATATGACTTGCTCAGCTTATGCTAACGAGCGCACTAGGTCACTCCGGCCGAATTGAGGGTTCATGAGTAGCTTAATTACTCGTATCAAGATTTTGCGGTTTAGGGATAAGGGCTTCAGCCACCGAACAGCGGGTCACTTGCGAAAGCCGTCACTTCTTGATGGTTCGGGCGAGAGGATTGGATTTTAAATAGGGTTCCAGCGGATTCAAGGCTCCTTACAGTGCAGGGCTTCAGCTTTAGGATTGGGCACAGGGCGTCAGGGTTTTGGAGTTCGGGTTCAGGCTCGGAACGGCAGGTCCTTGTCGCCGCAATGGCGTCAGCAGCAATGGTATGCCGGCCACTGCAATGCAGAAAAGTCCCGGCTAAGCTGTGCCAACGGTCGATGCACGAACTCTGCTGTTGCACGGTCGCCTCGACGATCGATGAGTCTACTATAACGGGCATTGAAGTAGGTCGGAATAGGACTTTAGGCATTTTTCTCAAGGAATCAAGGAACTCCAAGGAATCAAAGGAACTCCAAGGAATCAAAGGAACTCCAAGGAATCAAGGAACTCCAAGGAATCAAAGGAACTCCAAGGAATCAAAGGAACTCCAAGGAATCAGAGGAACTCCAAGGAATCAAAGGAACTCCAAGGAATCAAAGGAACTCCAAGGAATCAAAGGAACTCCAAGGAATCAAAGGAACTCCAAGGAATCAAAGGAACTCCAAGGAATCAAAGGAACTCCAAGGAATCAAAGGAACTCCAAGGAATCAAAGGAACTCCAAGGAATCAAAGGAACTCCAAGGAATCAAAGGAACTCCAAGGAATCAAAGGAACTCCAAGGAATCAAAGGAACTCCAAGGAATCAGAGGAACTCCAAGGAATCAAAGGAACTCCAAGGAATCAAAGGAACTCCAAGGAATCAGAGGAACTCCAAGGAATCAAAGGAACTCCAAGGAATCAAAGGAACTCCAAGGAATCAAAGGAACTCCAAGGAATCAAAGGAACTCCAAGGAATCAAAGGAACTCCAAGGAATCAGAGGAACTCCAAGGAATCAAAGGAACTCCAAGGAATCAGAGGAACTCCAAGGAATCATGCCGGCAATTCTTCCGGCGCTATACTCTATATTAGACGGCGCAGCAACTTGCACCACTTGAGGTTAGCAGGAAAGTACCGTGACAATCTGAGGGTTCAGGATTTAGATTTTGGCTTCAGGATTTAGGGACTGCAGTCACCTCTTGCATGAGCTGCGAGGGAAAACCCTAAGAATTGAAACGTGGGGGCCCAAACCCTCTAGTCTAAACCCTCAAGACTAAAAACAACCTAGACCCCAAAACCCTAAACCCAAAACCCTAAACCCTAAACCCTAAAGGCTGAATATACTTTAAGCCCTCAACTCTAGACCCTAAACCCTGAAGCCTGTAGCCAAACCCTAACTGTGGAAGTCGTGAACCAGAGGGCCCTTACATGCCCAGAGCTCTACCTCGCCCAACAAAACTCCCACAACCCTCAGCCCACTAGGTTTAGGGTAGCAGGTTGGGGGTTTAGGGTTTGAGGTTTAGGGTTTTAGGTTCAGGGTTTAGGGTTTTAGGTTTAGGGTTTAGCCTAAACCGTTTGGGGTTTTAGGTTTAGGGTTTGGGTTTATGGTGTTGAATTTAGGGTTTAGGGTGATATCACCCTGAACCGCAAATTTGGGCGAGAAAGCCCGAGGAAAGGCGTGCAGAGTCCATGCACGTTTTACTGGTGCGAAGGATGGGACGCAAGGAGCAGTCGAGCCGTTCAAGGGTTCGGAAATGGGATCTGAAGGGAGTCGTAAAGTAACCTGATGGTAACCGTATAATAAACTCATGGTGCTGGTATAGTAACCTTAGAGTAACCTACTAGTACCCCTTCTGGTAAGATGATGACAGGAGAAACCGCTGCTGCAGATCTCCAAACTCGGATCCATAAAGACACGCCCCGAATCTGGAACAAACACCCCTGGGAGCCTGAGGGTGCAGTCTACGGTTGAGGGTTTAGGGTTTAGGGTTTAGGGTTTAGGGGAACATGTGGTTCAATCATCAGTGACATGATAAAATCTGATAAAACTATTCAGGGACATGTCGTCATCCTTTCTTGAGGACGCGTCGGTAGTGTCCCCCGCAGAGCGTTTAAACGTAGTTTTCCAGTATCGTCACCACAGCAGAAAACGAAAACCTGCCACTACAGGACCCTGACGAACTTATCAAGAGAGGCCAATCCTCCCCGCGTGGCTTTCTGCAACGGTTTCCTATTGTGGTCCCCGGTGCTGTCTTTCTCGTCGAGTCCCCTGAACCCTAAAAACCCTCAACCTGATACTATAGGGGCCTTAATAATTAGAATAGGGTTTTGGGGCCCAGTAGACTACAATTATAATCAGGAATCCCGGCATTAGCATAGCTAACTATGGAGGTCCCTGTATCCCCCTGATTCTTTCAAGCTCAAGAGCGCGCCTCAGGGGTGCCCACGTGGAGGGTCGGGGGACTTAGTAAGTAGCCATCTTAGGGACTTATAAGTATATCGTAACCCCAATTAGGGCCCAATTTGGGGTATGCATGAGTCTCCTTATTGCCTACTGTCGTTCTTTTGGGTTCCTTGTATGAACCCTACTATTTGGGGGTTATAGGGCCAGGGTTTCTTAATCAGGTTCCTACATTATTCTAGTACCCTTATAGATCCCTTATTTTACCCTTAGGGCCAGGGTTTCTTAATCAGATTCCTACATTACCTACCAAGCCCCTCGACCCTCTAAGAAGCGTGCCAAGAGCTCCAGGTCTCCGCAAAAGCTGCGAGTTCAGGGTGTAGGGTCTAGAGGTTTAGGGTGTAGGGTCTAGGGGTTCAAGGTGTAGGGTCTAGGGGTTTAGGGGTTTAGAGTTTAGGGGTTTAGGGTGTAGGGTTTAGGGTCCAGGGTTTCTAACATTTAGCGCATGCTCATGACTCCAGCTCCCAAAAAAACCTGCATGCACAACCCGGGGCCCTAGGGCTTGGGGCTCCGAATACTGTCTGGCTGAAGCTCGGCCCGCCATTTTGCTCCTTCCGCCATAAGCATTAAACACTAAAGAACACGTCCCACCGATACCCGCTCGGTAGGATGCCGTGCACCACCGAACCCCCACGGTGTCACGTCACCGGTGGCTGCGGTGCGAACGGCAGCGGCGGCGGTGGGCGAAGGTTTCCGGAGGACTGCTGCGACTCCAAAGATCTTGTGGACCGGCCCATGGTCGCCCTGGGCACTTGCGGATCAATACTGCTGATGGGAATTATGGTATATTCCTTATAATGGGTAATGCAGGATTTTGTCCATCAGCAGTAATTATGGGTGGTTGTCAAAATTATGGCTCCGTTTTGGGTACCCTATCAGGTGCCGTACTATATTAGGAGCTTTAAAGGGCCATAATTTTGCTAACCACCCATGTATGTGCGTAGGCACTTCTATATGCAGACATCTGTACATGCCAAATGCGTATGCGTGCGTGTGTGCGTGTGTGCGTGTGTGCGTGTGTGCGTGTGTGCGTGTGTGCGTGTGTGGGTGTGTGGGTGTGTGTGTGTGTGTGGTGTGTGTGTGTGTGTGTGTGTGTGTGTGTGTGTGTGTGTGTGTGTGTGTGTGTGTGTGTGTGTGTGTGTGTGTGTGTGTGTGTGTGTGTGTGTGTGTGTGTGTGTGTGTGTGTGTGTGTGTGTGTGTGTGTGTGTGTGTGTGTGTGTGTGTGTGTGTGTGTGTGTGTGTGTGTGTGTGTGTGTGTGTGTGTGTGTGGTGTGTGTGTGTGTGTGTGTGTGTGTGTGTGTGTGTGTGTGTGTGTGTGTGTGTGTGTGTGTGTGTGTGTGTGTGTGTGTGTGTGTGTGTGTGTGTGTGTGTGTGTGTGTGTGTGTGTGTGTGTGTGTGTGTGTGTGTGTGGTGTTTGTGTGTGTGTGTGTGTGTGTGTGTGTGTGTGTGTGTGTGTGTGTGTGTGTGTGTGTGTGTGTGTGTGTGTGTGTGTGTGTGTGTGTGTGTGTGTGTGTGTGTGTGTGTGTGTGTGTGGGTGTGTGTGTGGGTGTGTGTGTGTGTGTGTGTGTGTGTGTGTGTGTGTGTGTGTGTTTATGTTTGTACATGTGTATGTATGCAGGTAGGTAGCTATGTACGTATGTCATGAGATGTCATTTCATGTAATGTAATGTAGTGTATCTGTCTATGCTCGTATATATGCATGCATGCATGCATGCATGCATGCATCTGGGTAGGTATGTAAGAACGTAAGCAACTATGCACTTATGCAAGTATGTGCGTATGTAATTTATGTCAGTATGCGAGTTAGTACGTGAATAAGTAAGCAAGCCAAGCAAGCCAGGAAGTAGGTATGCAAGTAAGTATGCATGCATGTATGTACGTATGTATGCCTGAAGGTAGGTAGCCAGGTCGTTCGGTGGGAGGGTGGGTAGGTAGGTACGTAGGAGTTGGGTAAGTAGGGGGTATGGAATCAGATCCCAAACAGCCGAAGTCGAAGGATTTGGTGTTTTAGGGGCTTGGGATAATGTTTAGGGTTCAGGGTTTCTTGAGAATCTAGATGATATTTCCTTAAAGCAGAAGGACACGGGGGTTTCCGAACATTTTGGGGAGTCCAATCGGGGTCTACGCACTTACAGTAGAAGCCGAAAAGTTGGAAACCCAAGAGCCTCAATCCTTAAGGGGAATCTATAAGGAATCCCAGCACTATTCAGCCTTAACCCGGTTTCCAACTTTATGGGGTTTACTGTAGGTCCCGTAAGTTTCCGAGACTTCGAGCTTGGAGGTTCATGGGACTTCGTAAGGTAAAGGGTTCCTTAAGGGGGTTCCCTAAAGGGGCTCAATATCAAATCCATACGGGGTTTAAGGGTCTAGAGTCTACTTAAAGATTCATGGGACTGAGTAGATACAGTTATGAGTACCTCAATTTGCAGCTATAAGTATTTGTGATTATAGCTACCTTCCTTGTGACCCTAAGTCCCATGAACCCTCAAGTGTTCTACCAGCGTGATGTGATGTTTACACCAAACATAGATCATCGTTTCCCATACCGACAGCCCCTTCGGGTTTGAGGTTTGGGATTCAGGGCCAGGGATTTAAGGTGTTGGGGGCTCAGGGCTGACGCCAATGAACAAGATCACATACTCCAAATCATTTGCGAAGATACTTAAAGAATGGGACATTTGTCGGTGTATGATTAGGGTTCAGGGTGTAAGGTATCTTACTTTTCTTGGAGAATTGAGAACTGTAGTTTTCTTCTCCAAAGTCTCGCTTATAACTAACTTTTAACCAGCCATGAACCGGTGGGTTTACATAAACCAGGATGGAGCTTCCACCCTGGTAGTGCAGCCTTCGTGGTCAAAACATATTTTTCCAGGGCCCTGGGTCAGGGTCTAGGGCCTCCCTTCCACAACTCTACAGTAGAGGATTCATTTCAACTTCTGCAACATCAAGACTTGCATAAACCCCCCGCAACCATGAACCTCTGCACGTACACGTATATGTATACAGTCTATATACACCGTACGACCCAAAACCTTGAGTTGAAGGCACAAGATAAACCCTAAACCCTAAACCCTAGAAAGGTAAACACTAAACCCTATCCTTACCTTTGAATTTGGTTAGTAGGGAATGGAGGAATGGGGTACAATTATAACTACTATTACTACCATTCTTCCATTCCCTACTGACCAAAGGTAAGAAATTCCTAAACCCTTAAACCCTTAAACCCCTTTTGATCCCTCTCAACGAACCCCCTATAGATCCCTTTAGAGGAACCCTAAACCCTAAACCCTAACCCTGAGGTAAGTGTCCCGGGTCCCCGACGCCCGATCGAGGCGGGGCGAGCGAGGGATAGGCTGCTTGTCCAGGACCGTGTTGAGATCCCGGGTGCGTCTGGTTCGGATCTCGGGTTTCGGGTTTAGGGTTTAGGGCTTAGGGGCTTAGGGGTTTAGGGTTTAGGGTTTAGGGGTTTAGGGGTTTAGGGTTTAGGGTTTAGGGGTTTAGGGTTTAGGGTTTAGGGGTTTAGGGGTTTAGGGTTTAGGGTTTAGGGTTTAGGGGTTTAGGGTTTCGGGTTTAGGGGTTTAGGGTTTAGGGGTTTAGGGTTTAGGGGCTTGGGGTTTGGGGTTTAGGGTTTTGGGGTTTAGGGTCTAGGGTTTAGGGTTTTCAGGGTTTCCCTGGACCCTATGAAACCCTTCCTTTTTAAGTTTCCCCGATAATGATTTCCTTAGAAAAGTCCATAAAAAGGTAGGTTATTTGGGCTTAAGGTAGGGATTGAGGTTTCAGCTGTGGGATTAGGGTTAAGAGATTAGGGTTTAAGCTAAAACCCAGTTTTCGAAGAGCGCTAACTGCACCCTAACCGGGATTTCGGACAGGCCCAGAGAGCCCAATACCCCTTAATTAAGGAATATAGCCTAAATCATAATATGGAGCCCTATATGATTTAAGCCATATTCCTTAATTAAAAGGTATTGGGCTCTCTGGGGGGTTTCCTTCTTAGCTTGGCGCTGTTTTGGACCGAGGGCCTTATTTGGATGGACAAGACCCTGTATTTTCAGCACAGGTTTGCACCAACCCAAAACCCCAAACATCCCGTACTGCAGCGTGTTGTATACCAGCCGAACAGGTTTGGGGTGCACGAACAGGGCTTCCCAGACCCCCGGGAGGATCCAAAAAGTAGATCCCTTAATGGGGGTTCCTATAAAGCACCCTTGGTAGTATAGGGCCCCAAATTAGGGGATCTACTTTGCAGATCCTTCCGGGGGTCTGGCTTGGTGTGGAGGGACCGGATTGTGGGGTGCAGAAAACAAGCTTCGCGATTCAAGACGGTTCAACTGTTGAGTTGTGCATGGTTCAGGGGTTGTGGTAGGTGGCGAACTATAGTATCAGTTGTTCAGAATGTAGCATCTTGGGGGGGATCACCCACCCCATTTTTCTGCAAAGGCTGCCGTGCTGTGAATCGCTGAAGTTTCTGAAGATCCGAGCTTCTCCCAATCCCTAGCCACTCGAGCTTCGCTTGAGGTTTTAGAGTTCAGGCTTTAGGGTTTAGGGTTTAAGGTTTAGTGTTCTTCCGAAGACTCGATCTTTCCGAAGACGCGCGTCGCCGCATGACACTTCGCAGTTGTTCAGGTTTGCGTCTGCGGGCTTTGAGGCTGCTGTACAGGGTTTAGGGCGTGCGGCTTACGGGAAGTAGCTGGGACTTCATGTGTCCGCTATATAGGCATGATTCTTTCAAGATTTCCGAAGTCTGGGACCTCGACCCCCAAAAGTATGTAGAATAACAGCTCTTTATAGGTTTTGGGTCATTCTGTTATATACCTACTTTTGCGGGTTTAGGGACATCATACAAGGGTTTACAAAGGGTACGTAGAGGCTTTCCGGGCTTGGGTTTTGCCAACCGGGCTTTCACTTCAGGGTTTGGGGCTTGGTGTTTTGGGCTCTTGGCTGAAAGCATCGGTTTTCTAGCGTACAGTTTTCAAACCGAAGGCACAGCGCAAGAAAATGGCGAGCGTTTTGGGGTTTAGTGTTTCGGGTTTAGAAATACATGTGCTTGTACTGGTACTAGTCCTCATACTACTAACTGCTACTGCTACTGCTACTACTGCGACGAGGAAAACCACTACAAGTACGACTGTTCCGCTGACACTGCTGCTGCTGCTTCTAGAGCCACTGCTGCTCTGACTCCTGCTATTTGTGAAGGCTCAGCCATGTGACTGGCTTAAACACGAAACATGCTGAAAGCGTCAACGCACAGGCTCAAAGCTGAACGGCCTGCACTGACGCTGGTTAGGTGTAGGGTCCAAAACCGGAGATACCTTGTGCTTCAGCCACCACTCGTAGGACACCGTCCGATCCGCGGCGTGGGCATCGATCGCTTTGTTGAACTCCCGCTGGTGCTCGCCCAGGTGTGTGGCCAAGGCCATCTGATCCACGTCCTCGAAGATCTCGTCGGAGACGCGCGGCAGCTTGATCGCGGGGTCGTGTACCCGGCGTGGCTGGCTGCCCGATGCCTTCTCCTTCTTGTCCTTCGCCTTCTTGACCCGTCTTTCGGACCTTCGGACCCTTCGCAGCTTTCGCCCTCGACCCGAACCGAGGCGGTGGCAGCCCGTCCACTCGCGGAGTATAATCAGAAGAACCCCTAGACTCAAAACTCAAAACTCCAAACCACAACCTGTCATCTCCAATCAACCCTAAATCCCGTTCCCGGTGCCTGGCAGCACTCGTACGAACGATCCCGGGATGAGAAGGCACACTCACGACTCCTGCAGATGGAGGGTTTAAGAATTTACAGTGACTCAAGACTATACTATATTAGGGTTTAGGGTTTAGGGTTTAGGGTTTAGGGTTTAGGGTCTAGGGTTTAGGGGTTTAGGGTTTAGGGTTTAGGTAGAGGCTAGAACAACTACAATTTTTCCTAGGCCCTAGGCCTCCTCATTTCCATTATACTATCATTTTTCTCAAAACCCTATTCTCATTACTAAGGCCTCTACAGTATAGAACCCTATCATGGATCCCTTGTAGAACCCTTTTAAGGACCCTTTAAAGGAACCCATTAAGGGACCCTATTCTAATTATTCAGGCCTCTACCTAGGGATCGAAAGTTGAAAACCCAATAGCTTCAATCCTTAGAGCGGAAGGTAGAGGGAATCCCAGCACTATTTGACCTTAGTTCCTCTTTCCAACTTTATCGGGTTTACTGTAAACCCTAGACCCTAACCTCTATCGATCCCTAACCTAGGCCTAAGCCCGAAACCTTAAGAAAAGGGCTCTGTAAGGGATCATAAGGGATCGATAGGGTTTAGGGTTTAAGGGATTCTAATATCGCTTGATTAAGGAGTATATACCTTAAATCATTTTAGGGATCCTACCATTTCAGGTATATTCCTTGATTAATCAGGGAATATTGGAGTCTGTGGGAACCCTGAACCCTTCAAACCAAACCTGCAAAACAAAAAGCGCCACCCGCCAAAGCCGAAAGCAGCACAACAACAAGGCACTCAACCCTAAGTGACACACCTCTTTATCGAAAGACGGATCCCGCTCGGAGGTTCAGGGTTTAGGGCTTAGGGTTTGAGGTTTAGGCTTTCGGGTTTGGGGTTTAGGTTTCAGGGCTTGGTGGTTTAGGGTTTTAGGGTTCGAGGGTTTGAGGTCTTCCAAAGCGCTCCTCGTTCGTTTCAGTGGTCTTTGGGAGAGGGGGGGGAGTGGGGGGTCCACAGGAATAGATTGTAGGGGACAGATAAGCTTCTGAATGGCTGTAAGCAGCCTGGCAGCCACTTCGCAGGAGATTTTGTGCAAGTCAAGGGCCCTCCCTGCCAAGTTTTCTTGCTGGTCGAGCTTGTGAGGACACTCACCATCCTCCCAGCAGACGGAATCCGACTAGACTCCAGTCGTTGATAAATCCCCATCACGGCGATGGGATCTCGACCGCAACATCGGTCGGGACCGTATTGCTCCCGGAACGGACGTCAACGGCAAAGCAAAGCAGTCACCTCATAGAGCTCTATTACGAAACGACAAGGCCCTACTGGTAAGCAAAACACTACTAACTGTAGCAGCAGCGTGTGGCAGCAGCATGAGCATGGACCAGGAAGTTATATGCTACATTCGGAAGCCCTACTTCAAGGCAGGAAACATACGACTTTCAGTTCGACTCCCCTCTTCAACTTCTCCTCGCAAATCCTAGACTGAACCGTAAACCCTCAGTTCTAAACCCTTATAAGCCCTACATCCTAAAAACCCTAAGCCCTGAACCTAAATCCTCCACCCTGAATCGTAAACCCTACGCCCTGAACCTAAATCCTCCACCCTAGATCCTAAACCCTAAGCCCTGAACCTAAATCCTCCACCCTAAATCCTAAACCCTAAGCCCTGAACCTAAATCCTCCACCCTAGATCGTAAACCCTAAGCCCTGAACCTAAATCCTCCACCGTAAATCCTACACCCTAAGCTGAACCTAAATCCTCCACCCTAAATCCTAAACCCCAAGCCCTGAACCTAAATCCTCCACCCTAAATCCTAAACCCTAAGCCCTGAACCTGAATCCTCCACCCTGAATCCTAAACCCTAAAGTTCTAAAGCCTAAACCCCATATGGGAGTTTCCGAAAATAGGGGACCCAAATATAGTACCCTAAATAGTAGGATCCTTGTTATAAGGACCCCCAAAATAAGGTACCCCTGTTTTCGGAAACCCCCTAAACCCTAAACCCTGAAGTTTTAAAGCCTAAACCCTAAACCCCTAAACCCCTAAACCCTAAACCCCTAAACCCCTAAACCCTAAACCCTAATGCCCTAAAGCCCTAAACCTTGAAGCCTAAACCCCACATTAACGGAACGGTTCTCCTCGGACAGGTGGTTCGCCATCGGCAACACCACCCTCGTCTTTCACGTACATCTGCTTGAACAAACTACCTCGTCTCTGGGGGTTGAGGAAGACCCTTAATGGGGACCCTAGCCTATAATGGGCCACATAATGGATATATAATAGCTATATTAAGGGCATGTAGGGTTTAGCGTTTAAGGGTCTAGGGTTTTTTTGCCTTAGATTTCGAGTTGTGCTTTAAGGCTTAAAGGGGCTCATCGGGTCTGCATGAGCGTCTCCCAACCCCTTCGGGGACTACTGCGGTAGGACGAAAGCTTGAGCTACTCTTTGTTTCGTCGAACACAGTCCCCCATTCCCCCATAGAATCCTAACAAGCAGGAGCAACCGGCTACTCCTCCGGAACATTAAAGTAGTATAACTTCAACACGGGGTATAAAATGCTCCGCTGGCCAGGCCACGTAAATCGCACTTTTCGGTACTCCGCTACTCCGCAAGACGTCCTAGGACAAGACAGATCCAGTAGGTCCAAACTTTTGTCCTCCCGATGTATTGGCAATTATAGGGCTCTCTCTTCTGTCGCCCCCCGCCCGCACTCCCTTCCTCCCGGAACCCAGGAACGACCCCAAAGCAAGTCGCTGGTAATCACGCGTCACAATTTCACATCGAATGGTCTCGTATAAAAGGCAACCAGAACGTCCCAGATCCCTTTGCTTACGAATGATTGTTTCGGGCTTCGAAAAGATCCAGGTCTAAGGCTCCATGACTTCAGGGGTACCGGGCCCTGGCATGTCTCATTCCAAAAATTAAAACCCTAAACCCCTAAAGCCCTAAACCCTAAACCTCCCAAGAGTAAACCCTAAAACCCTAAACCCCTAAACCCTACCAACTCGGATAAAGCACCAAAATCGAGAACGTCAAGACCCGGTACAGCAAGCATCCTCTCTAAGGGGTCTGTATATTGAGAATCTCACCAGTTAGGGCCGGGGCCCTCAATCGTCCTTCTCTCGCGGAATCGGTATCTCAAATTACAGCATAGGCGCGGCGATCACGAAAACCTCCCCCCAGCGAAGCACTAGAATCCGAGTCCAGACGTCTGCTTCGACCTCGAGACGGGGCTTCGGGTTTAGGGGTTTAGGGTTTAGGGTTTAGGGTTTAGGGGCGTGTTCGGGCCTTTCTTGCTAAGCTAACTTTGTCTACATATTGGCACTTGAATACCCTGGCGGGTACTCGAAGTAGTATAGGATTGCATTTGCATGAAAAGCTTTTCTGCTTGGTTGCAACTCGACTTACACATCAAACCTCAAGTACCGGACTTCATGTATGGATCGGAATGAGAAGCAGCAGTGTGCCCTTGTAGTCCCTTTGTCCTTGCAGAAGACTATACAGTATGTGCCTAAACCTTTTTCTGATTATTATTAAGGCCCCTATTTCACGGCTTCAGGTTCAGAACATTTGGTCCAGGGCAGATAGAGGCCACAGCAAAATATCCTACAGTCATACATCTACACGTGCGTAAGGCCTGATACAATCAAAATTCTTCACAAAGACTTGCACAATAAACTTAAAAGCAACATGCTTATACATGACATCTTATAACTCTTTAGTTGCGAGGATCTGCGAAGAGCTCAAGTTTTTGGGGCTTCACGCTTTAATCTTTGGCACGGGACAACACATAAAGGGTCATGGGACTTAGTAACTTGGGTTATACTTATGGTAACTATACTTAAAATTACTTATAATCCCGATTAAGGTACTTCTAACCCTATTTGCTAAGTCCCATAATCCTCCAAGCAGACTTGGGTTACCACGACGTTCAGCTGCTTAGGGTGGAAGTCCAAGAGCAGGGTCCACTCCTTTTCGCTTCAAGGGCAAATCCTGTCCGGTCATTATCCCACCGTACACTTGCGGCATAATACAATGGCTTTACGGACGAACCATAAACCCAAATCTAAACACATAAACCCTAACACCCAAACCTAAATCGACAGGTTTCCCAGAACTTCATATCAGCCCAATACCCAAGCGCCCTACAACCCAGAACCCTGGCTCGCCTTTCAGGCCCCTTAACCCTAAACTTTAAACCCTACACCCTTATACCTAAACCCTAATCCCTAAACCTGAAACCCTACACTGCACCTAAACCCTGAACCCTAAACTCTAAACCTGCAACGCCACACCCTTATACCTAAACCCTAAACCCCAAACCTGAAACCCTACATCCTTATACGTAAACCCCCGGACCCCTAAACCCTAAACCGGATACCCTATACCCTTATACCTAAACCCTTGTACCTGAACCCCAGATCCTCAAATTTTCCGTTGCAGCCCGCGCCACGTCTGATAGGGCTGGGCTTTGGCTCGGAGAGTAGGACTTCGAGCCTTTGAAAAGCCTCGGTTCAGGGTTTAGGGTTTAGGGTCTACTTGTCGGGTATCATGAGGAACTAAAGGCTATCCTTTTTGGGTTATATAGGGATTACATAGGGCTATACTGCACCAAAAAATGTTAAAGGTTACCTAATCAACTACTAGCTTTAGGGTGTAGGGACTGCAAGAGCTTGGGTACTCAAGGTGTTTCCCAGAAAGTTGGAACATGAGTTTAGGATGATCGGTGCTGGGATCCTCTATACTTTATCTTAAGGGCATGAGGATATTGCTGTTCCTGGGTTGCAAGCCCCTTTAAAACAATACGCGAGAAGGGCTGGTAAGTATTCCATGAAAACCTTCTAGACCCGAACAAGACCCTTAGGCGGATTCGTTTAAACCCTAGTTTTCCAGTAACTAGTATATTCCCTAGCACCTAACAGGGCCCAAACATCTACACCTCGTCGAGACCCTACACTGACACTCTGCACCCTACACTCCAAGTATCCCCTAAGCTCTATACCTTGAGCAAAACCCGTGAGCTTGCACGTCTCCGAAATTCCCTGTAAAGAATATAAATGCACATATACATACTGTATATACATAGATTTAGGGGAGGAGAAAGAAAAAGAGAAAGAGAGAGAGAGAGAGAGAGAGAGAGAGAGAGCGAGGGAGTTCCTTGGTTGACGGGTTTTAAAAAACCAGAAAACCAAAAAAGCTTCAACCCTAAACCTTAAACCCAAACCAGGAACCTTAAACCCTGCACCTTAAACCTAAAACCCTAAGTGTCAACCCTTAAACCCTGCAAACCCTAACCCTAAACCTCTAACCTAAAACCCTAAATCCTGCAAACCCAAAACCCTAAACCTCTAACCTAAAACCCTAAACCCTGCAAAGCCTAAACCCTAAACCTCTAACCTAAAACCCAAAACCCAGAACCCAAAACCCTAAACCTCTAACCTAAAACCCTAAACCCTGCAAACCCAAAACCCTAAACCTAAAACCTAAAACCCTAAACCCTGCAAACCCAAAACCCTAAACCTCTAACCTAACTGCTCCGTTGCAGCTCTGGGAGCTTTTCGAAGCCCCTCGCCAACCTCGAAGGCGGTGTCGTTCAAGGAGACCTGAGTTTTGCTTTTTTCCAAGGGCAAAAGGAGAGACCCTTAATAAGGGTTTAGGGTTTAGGGTTTAGGGTTTAGGCCCAAGGACCTAAACCCTAAACCCTAAACCCTAAACCGCTTAATATAGCTATCATGGCTATTATATACCCATTACGTATATAGCCCATCATTGGGGGGGGGGTTCAAGGAGACCTGGCTGCTTTGCTTGCTGGGTTTTAGGGTTTAGGGGTTTAGGGTTTAGGGGTTTAGGGTTTAGGGTTTTAGGGTTTAGGGGTTTAGGGTTTAGGGCTTTAAGGTTTTAGGGTTTAGGGGGTTAGGGTTTTAGGGTTTAGGGGGCTCCGGAATTTGTGGTTCTTTTGTGTGGTTTTAACTCACTTCTTCAGCAACCGGGCCCCAACAAAAAGTTCAACCTTTCTAAGATAGAGCTGATATAGAAGGCCAAAAAGTTTAACGTTCGCCCCGGTTTGCTATCGAAGTAAATGGGGCTCTGTTCCGACTGCGTGCGGCTAGAATTTGGGGTCGATGTTTAGGGGTTTAGGGCTTTGGGTGCAGGGGTTTAGGGTTTACAGTTTTTCCACTCAGCGTTTGGGGTTTAGGGCTTGCTGTTTAGTTTTATAGGTGCCTATGAGTTCTGAAAGGTTTTTAAACGGGGTTTTGTAGGTTTAGGGCGGGCTCTGGAATCTACGCCTGGAAGGATTACTTGAGCCTTGAGGCTTTCCTACCAAAACTTCTAATTATGAGGCTTCGATAATGGGACGAAAAAAGGTTCTATCATCGGGGTGTTCTGGTTTAGGCTCTAGAGTCTTGGAGTATGGACTAAAGCACTCCCTCCACCGCGCCAACCCACCTTCTTAAAAACAGGAGGTACGTGACCACCAAACTCCAAGTAACAAAACTATATACCTATCCTAAAACCTAAACTCCTGACTGCGAATACACCCTGTGGGCCCCAACGCAAAAACAAAAAAATCCCGAACGCTAAACCACACAATGTCCATCACAAAGCACTCCAGGCCCTAGCACCGTTAAATAGATCTCCGTTAGTGGGAAGAGCCAAACATCTTCCACAATACCCTCTAACAGTCTGTTGCCTATATTAGTTCTCTCTTGAACTGTGAATAACAAAATCAAAAACTGAATACCAAAAACTAAACTCTGGAACCCACTATCCGGCTCCCTTGAGAAGGACAACCTGCAATAAAACCCCACTAAACCTCAAAGACAAAAAAATCACCCTAACCTGAAACCGTAAACAGCCTAGACCCTGAACATATAAGCCTTAAACCCCAAACCATGAAGAACTCTCAACCCTGAGCTAAGGAAGATGGACCAAAGCCTCAAACCAGCAAGCCACCTCTAGCTTCTCTGCAGTGGCTTTGAGCTCCGCCTTTCGGAGGTGGGACATAGTGACATAGCAGTAGAGAATAAAGAGAAAAAGTATTCGGTTTAGGGCTTCTTAGAAGGATTCCTGTAAGAACCCTAAACCCTAAATGTTACAGGAACCTCCAACCCTGAACCCTAAACCCTCAACCCTAATTGCTATAGAAGGCCTCAACTCTCAACACTAAACCCTGAATCCTGAACCGTAAACCCTAAGCCTAAACCGAAGAATCCTAAAACCCAGAAACCCCCACCCAGCCCCGGGCTTTAGGGCAAAAATTAGGGGGGTACCTTGTTCTGGGGTCCTTATAATAAGGACCCTACTACTTAGGTTACTATGTTAGGGTCCCCTATTTTCGGAAACTCCCATACGGACCCCTAAACCCTAAACCCTTTTAGAACCCTTATACATCCCTTAAAGGGGCCCTTATGGTACCATTTGAAGGAACCCTAAGAGTCGCCTATTTTCGGAAACGCCCATATGGCGATCGGAGAGCACTCCCTGGCGGCTAGGAAAGAAGCCCCTGGACCCGGGCCTCTGTTACTTAAAGGGTCATGGGACTTAGTAACTTAAGGGGTTCCTTAAAGGGGTCCTTAAAGGGATCTATAAGGCTTCTATAATGGGGATAGGGTCTACTTAAAGGGTCATGGGACTTAGTATCTAGGGTTCAGGGTTCCTTTAAAGGGTACTGTAGGGTCTAGAGTAGGCTTCCCTTTGAGGGTTTAGGGCTTAGGGTCTACTTAAAGGGTCATGGGACTTAGTAATTAGGGTTATGATTAAGGTAACAACTATAGCTATAAAGACGTATAGCCCGAATTAAAAACTTATAGCCTTACTTACTAAGTCCCATGATCCTCTAAGTACCTCTGGTTTAGGATACATAAACCTTGAGGCTTTGGCAATCAGAACAGGGCCGTAGGGGCACGCCAGAGGGATCCCTGGTTTCTGAAACACCTGATTGTGATGTAGATCGTACACAGCAACACAAATAAGCGGAAGACGTCGGGTATGCTCTCTATGCCTACGGCCTTCATACAGCACATGACCAGTCCATTCCATCTTAGTATTCCGTGCAAACCAACCCCTAAACCCTCAAAATCCGCGACGTAAATCCCTGTCGCATCTTACTTAAAACCACTCTACGGCCGGCACACAAATTCTATGAATACGTCAAAATCCTAGCACCTCTAACCTAAACCCTTGGCTCCGGGCCCCAACCCCTCAACCCTACTTGGAGGGTCGGGGGACGGACTTAGTAAATAGTTAGTTTTGAAACTTATAAGTATCGTAACCCCTATTTAGGGTCCCTATTAGGGTACTTATAAGTCTACTTACTACCTACTTACTAAGTCCCCTCTAGACCCTCCTTATAGAACCCTTATAGACCCCTTTAAAGGAGCCCTTTATAGAACCCCTATAGATCCCCTTAAGGGCGCAAAGTCCCCTAAAGACCCTCCAAGTACATCCCCCCTCAAAAGGACCGACCTCCAGTTCACAGGCCGTGCCCTTTTCTGCTTTTTCCTGATGGCCGAAGAAGCGTTCAGGGCCCTACTTGGAGGATCATGGGACTTAGTAAGTGGGGTTATAAGTACCTTGATTAAGGTTATAAGTAGTTATAAGTATAGCTACCTTAAATATAACCCTAGTTACTGAGGGCCTCAAGGCGTTCCAGGCTTATCGGGTTTAGGGCTTATAGAGTTTAGGGCTGAGGGTGTAAAGGGGTTTAGGGCTTGTAGAGTTTGGGGCTTAGGGCTTGTAGGTTCTAGGGTTTAAGTTTCTAGGGTATTGAGGATTACAGTGAGGGGTCTATCAGAGTTGCTACAAGGAGGGAATTCTTGGGCTTGAGGTTGCAGGTTCAGGCTTTTCGGGTTTGGGGTTTAGGGTTTGGGGCTCGGTGTTTCGGGTTAGTGTTTATAGGTTTTGGTTTCTCTGGGCTCATTGCTGCTCCCTTGGAACCAGCAGCGCATACCTGGGTACTTCATTTCGGGTCCTTAGAATCAGAGTCCAACGATGTCGCACCCATAGTCGGTTGGGTTGCCTGGCTTTCCATCAGCGGGAGGGCTACAAATCCGGCAAGCCTTAACCCCGAACTTCGGAGGCCTCACAAGGTGGGATGAAGGTAGGTGGGATTAAGGATCCCTTATATATGGACTCTTATTTGGGAATATCCCACCTACCTTCATCCCACCTTTTGAGGGCGTCCGAAACCCTGACCTCTGCTCCCCAGCTGTTGTCAAGTCCCCTCGGCCTTTCATCCAGGGATTCTGAGTTTATGAAGGCCATCGACTCTTTAAGCTGTCTATGCTAATGGCTAATGTTGTCCAAGTTTCGGGTTTTCACCGTTTTCGGCTTAAGCAAATGTAACTCACAACATCATGCTTGACGTCAAACCTGAGACACTTCCTAGTCAACCATGGTAAGACCCCGCCGCACGCTACACTACAAGAGCTGGCAGTTGCTACGACGAGCCCTGAACAAGGGCACGCGAAAATCCTGCTGGATCCTAAGCCCTACACCTTCAACCCTAAGCAGCCCTTTAAAAAGTCTACACCCTATACCCAAAACCCTACCCCAAAGGCACTGAGACTTGCCTCAAAGGATGGGATGAAGGTAGGTAGGATTGAAGATCCCTTCTATGAGGACGCTTGTTAGGGATTACTCCACTCCGCCACCCCACCTTTGAAGCCCTTTGATATACCGGAGATTGAGGGGTGTCCGAAAATGGGGGACGATGATATAGTACCCTGAATAGTAGGATCCTTATGAAAAGGACCACAAATAAGGTACCCCCTAATTTTCGGAAGCTCTAAACCCTAAACCCTAAACCTTTTATAGAACCCTTGTAGATCCCTTCAAGGAACCCTTAAAGGACCCCACAGCTAGGTAGCCCTAATTTTCGGAAACTCCAAAACCCTTTTAGAGCCCTTTAAAGGGACCCTTACAGTACCCTTGTGTTACCCTTTAAAGGAACCCTTGGGTACCCTAAACCCTCTAAACCCCCTAAACCCCCTAAACCCTAAACCCCCTAAACCCCAAACCCCAAACCCTAAACCACCCCTAATTTTCGGAAACTCCCATTTGCCTCCGGCGCCGCCTCAGGCTCGGGATTCTTAATAAGTGGCTGCACTTCGTTCCCTCGCTCGTCACCTCCACAGGAGATCGGTAGGGTTTCGGGTGTAGGGTTGAGGGTTTAGGGTTTACGGTTCTAGAAGGGTTTAGGGTTTAGGGTTTCGGGCTCACCACCTCCACAGGAGATCGGTTGTAGAAAGACTGTTTGAAGGAGGCTAGATTATCCTACGGGTCCATGTGCTCAAATAGTATTTACTCAGGCCCCAAAGTGCCTATGTAGGGACTAATTCAAGGCTGAAAAGCATATACTAATATTGGGTACATAGACCCTCAGCGTTATTGACTATAGAGCCTTGTTTGATAGGGGCCTTGATGATTAGACTAGCACTTGCGAGCTTAGGGGGCAGGGGCCTGACTGTTGGGATCCTCCGATGTGCCGGTTTTGGGCTGTGTAAGGCTCTTGTCGCTTCGGCATCAAGCTTTAAGCTTTAGCACGTTAGAACTAAGGGCTTGGGACTTCTCTCGAGAGCCTCGGCGTCGAGCGAGGTGGTGCCTCGAGCAGTGGAGTGATCACGTAGCATTTCGCTGATCACCTCATCGGAGCTCAATTGTGATCGAGGCTTCCCTGCTGATGCTGAGGCAGCTTCCTCCGCAAACCACCGTGCAGTGCGGACCTTCTTTCGCTGATAATGCTGCGAGGGCTTGACGATGTGGACACCGCAGGAAAGGCAAATCATTTGCCCAACCATGTGCTGGGTGCCGCAATGTGGGCACGCTCTAAGCCAAAACAAACAAACGGCTAACACGGGCAACGAGAATTCATGAATAAAGTTCTAGGTATCATCAACATGCAGGTATAAGAACATACGAGTAGCTTGGTTCAGTACGGCTCTACATCATTGCACCTTTAACTACAACCATTTGGTGCTCGACTGGCGACCCACCAAGAACACACCCTTAAACCTGTACACCCTAAACCCTAAACCTTAAACCTTAAAGCTGTACACCCTAATGCTAAAGACCCCGAAGACTCCTGAACCCTAAACCCTTTAGAGGTTTAGGGGTTAGGGGTTTACGGGTTTAGGGGGTTAGGGGTTAGGGGTTTAGGGTTTAGGGGTTCAGGGTTTAGGGGGTTAAGGTTTTGGGGTTCAGGGTTTAAGGTTTAGGGTTTAGGCCCTGAACTCTACACCCTAAAACTCCAATCCTATGGTCTCCAGTGCAGTTCCTTTGGGGGGGGTCCCTTATAGGATCCTGTATACAAAAGCGGCTACACCCAAGAATTTATCTACAATGGGTACTAAAGGTAACAACCGAACACCTCCGTCGAAAACCCCTTGCCTGAACGCCAAATCTGAAGTCGGACTTTACCAACCCCAGCTCGAAACCCCAAACCCAAACCCCCAAACCCCCAAACCCCCAAACCCCCAAACCCTAAACCCCGAACCCTTAAACCCCGAAACCCCTACACCCCGAAACTCCTAAACTTCTAAACCCATCAATTCTGATCTTCTAAATCCCTAAACCCCTGAACACTAAACCCTAAACTGCAGAGCCCACCTGAGTCTGAGAGAGAAGAACAAGTGTCTGTATTCGTCAGCTTGTGCAAGGACTTTGACCTGTTGTACTTGAAGGGTCGGTCGGGAGACTTAGTAAGTAGGTAATAAGTAGACCCTTAAAAGGGGCCTTAATTGGGTTTATCATACTTATAAGTCCCTAAAATAACTACTTACTAAGTCCCCAGACCCTCCAGGTAACTATACTTTGGCAGCTTCTTCCTCCGCCAAGGCCTGGGCCCTGTCTGCCTGCTCGCGCAAAGCTCGCAGTGCCTCTTGGCCCCTCTTGCGGACCTCCTCATCGTCCGCTTCCGGCTCGCAGCCGGTCTCACCCACTGGCTCCAGCGGCGCCCCCTCCACAACAGGGACCGCCCCACTGCCAGGGGTATTTGCAGGCAGCCCACCCTCAGCCTCCACTGCTCCAGGGAAGGTAGCCACCTCCAGCTCCGAGGATGCGACCGCACCGCTTTCCCCGCCCTCGCCAGGGGAGGTACTTGCAGGCAGCCCACCCTCCAGCTCCGAGGATGCGACCACACCGCGTTCCTCGCCACCACCACTGGTGTCGCCCTCAGGCCCTGAGGGTGAATTCGAAGAGGAAGTACCAGCACTGCAAACCAGCTGGGCAACGAGGATCAAAACAGCGCCCAGCCACCCTCTCATCAGAACTACTTATAGCCTCCCAAGTCCCATGACCCTCCAAGTAGGACTGCTTGGCTTTAGGGCGTGGGGTCTAGGGTTGGCGTTAATGTTGGGCTTTCTTGGGGTTTAGGGTTTAGGGGTTTAGGGTTTAGGGTTTAGGGTTTAGGGTTTAGGGTTTAGGGCCAGACTTCCGCAGAGGGTTGAGGGTTTGGCGATGTCGGGTTTCTGAAGGGCAGTAGATCTGAAAAGGGGAGTTGTTAACACTGGAGGTACTACTCCTTTTTGGGTGGACCGCAAACGAAGCTATGCATACGAGTCTCTCCCAGTCTCATGGAATCGTTTAGGGCTATGTGTGTACATCAAGCTGCAAACCATGGTGTGGGTTGGGTCCAATACCTGCCAAAAGGTCGTAATAATTGGAATAGAGTTTTGGAGTATATCTAGGGGTACGTACACACATGCATACATCCATGCATGCATGCATACATATATATATGTATCGAGCGAGCGAGCGAGCGAGAGAGAGAGAGAGAGAGAGAGAGAGAGAGAGAGAGAGAGAGTCAGAGAGAGAGTCAGAGAGGGAGACGCGGCGCCAAGATACTATTGCAAACTATTCCGGGCCCGATGTAAACCCAACAACCCTGGACTCCACCGAGACTCAGACTGAGACCGGTCTATCACTGATGGGCTACCTAGTACCCCTGCCCTAAACCCTAAACGGCCCTAAACTTTCTGGCTACATGCTGATACCCTGGACTGTGGTCCTGAACCTGAGCTTGTCTGGACAAGTTCTTGGGTTTAGGGCGTTGTTCGTTTCGGGCTCGCGGCTCCTAACCTAAATTCTCCGCACATGCATGTCCAAACACGTTCCGACGGACTCCATGAAATCGTCAAGAAGCTCCCAGAAACTGTACCGTTTTCACTAGGCCGTGTCCCGGAGAAAACCCTGCAACCTCAAATTCTCCTAAGACTTGAATACACTCCGAAGCCTGACCCCTGCAACTTAAACCACTGAAATGTTGCGGCTTTTGGGTGGCTTAGCCACACCCCTACATCCCTAAATCCTAAGACTCGCGCAAGAACCCCGTACCCTAAACACTACCCGACCGATAGCCGCAAAACCCTGTCTTTCCCACAGAATATTTGAGGAAACCTGAATCCTCCACCCTAAGCGCGAAACTCTGAATCAAAGAGACCGAAACAAATTCACCCCGTGTACGTCGGCTTACATTGGATTACATTCTACCCCATTTGCTGCAATCGAAAAAATCCTGAACCTCTAACTTCTGCATGTAGGCGATTCGGACATCAAAGCCAAGCCACATTTCCCGCAGTTGGACAGCGAAGGAATCGAAATGTTCTTGGGCCATATCGTAGATCTCCTGGTGCACTAAGCCATAAAGCCCTGAAGCTTAAACAATCGATGCCTGAACCCGCAGACCATGAAAGCCCTAAGAACCCTGAAGCCTTGAACGGATAACCCTTAACCCGCAAACCCTCAAGCGCGAAAATCTTAACATCCACTCTAAAGCCCCTAAAAGCCCGAAAACCCTACGTCAACCGAATTGACAATGAACCCTAGCTCCTCTACCCCTAAACCCCAAAGGGAACTCCAGAAAGTTGGAATATGGATTAATGGTAGGATCCCTTATAATCTACCAAAGGGATTACGGATTTGATATTCCAACTTTCTGGCTTCTACAGTACCCCTAAACCCTAAACCCTCCTAAATTGATAGACGTCTGGCTGCTTGCAGGACCCAAAGATGCCACGACTCCTCAAAAAATACAGAAACACTCTGTAGGTGTGTGTTCAGGGTGTTGTTGAGGTTGCGCATTAAGGTTTAGGGACTAGGCCGTTGGGGTTTAGGGTTTCAGGGTTTGGGGTTTGGTTAGATGCGTATTCACCTGTAACTTACGGGATCGCTGGATCTGTGGGGCATCACGTCAATATCTTGAAGAGTCCTACCTTAAACCACCATAACCTACGTTTTTGGGTTTAGGGGTGTAGGGTTCAGGGCCTTATAAACCCTACTACAAAAAGCAGCTTGGGAATTGAAAATCGCTTCCAGCGATTCCTACGGCCTAAACCCCTAAACCCTAAACCCAAAGCCCTAAACACCTCAACCCTAAACCCCAAGCGGCCCTGCTGTCAGTGGAAGATGCCTCGCTGATGCAAGCGATCGACCTGCTCTTGCTGTTGCAGCCGCCACCTTAACCTACCAAAACCTACTTTTTGTAGGCTCTGCGTATAAACCCTAGTATGGAAGTAGTAAGGACCCTGCAAAAAAAGGAAGTTCTGGTGGGTGAAGGCACCCTGTGGCAAGGAAATTCAGCCGGCACTTCCTTCGGGACATGAGTTTCCGTGACGATGGGAATGAGGCACTGAGGAAGTGCAAGGCCGTCATCAACCAACTCATGGAACCACCCACCTTTGTGGAAGGGCTTCACGTCGGGGCTTGAGTTTAGGGTTTCGAAATTTCGGTTTAGGGGCTCAGGGTATAGACTTCCCCGACCTAAGCATATTAGGGGATCAACTTGTCTTCTGGACGCAGCGGTTGAGACTGAAGCACGCCTCATCGCACCGGGGTAGAGCTCCCCTAAAGTCCGGGACGATCTCGCCCCGCTGCCTAATGCCTCTGACGAAGTGCCCTGATGAACCTTCCTCCCTTGATGCTGAAGGGGGATTTCTGTGTGATGCTCAAAAGAACAGTCCTTGTCTGAATCTGCTACGCAAGCCTAACAGGAACCTGATGGAGGTTCTGAAGAGTGACTGCGGGCATGCCCTAAACCCTAAACCTAAAACCCCCAAACCCTCAAGCCGTTAAATCCCAAACTCTCTACCCTAAACCGTAAAACTCAGAGAACCCTAAACCTAAAACCCCAAAACCCTAAGGCCATTATGTCCCAAGCTCTCTACCCTAAACCGTAAAACGCAGAGAAAGCACCGTCCTCCTGCAGCTGTAGTGACTGCATCATGTTGTACCTGCAGTCGTGGTGTTCAAGGGCGGCTTTACGCCTTGGGGTTTTGCTTGGGGGGTCGGGGTACCTAGTAAGTAGTTAGTTTAGGGACTTATAAGTATCATAAACCCAGTTAAGGCCCCTTTTAAAGTACTGATAAGTCATTACAAGTCTACTTACTACCTACTTACAGTAGAAGCCAGAAAGTTGGAATATCATTATCGTAACCCCTTTAAGGTAAACTATAGGGATCCTACCATTAATCCATATTCCAACTTTCTGGAGTTCCCTTTACTAAGTCTCCCGACCCTCCAAGACCCCTTATAGAATCCTTATAGATCCCTTTAAAGGAGCCCTTATGGAACCCCTACAGATCCCCTTAATGACCTACTTACGAAGTCTCCCGACCCTCCAAGTGCACTATGAAACCCGCGCGTCTATGGGAGCCTCAGGGTTGCCCTTCCTGCTTAAAGCCCAAGCAGCTCCAAAGAACACCTATGGGAGTTTCCGAAGTTTGGGGGTACCTTCTTTTGGGGTCCCTTTTAGAAGGATCCTACTATTTAGGGTACTATATTGGGGTCCCCCTATTTTCGGAAACTCCCATATGGGTGGTTGTCAAAATTATGGTCCCCTTTTGGGTCCCTATTATACTACGGCACCTGTTATTTAGGGTACCCAAGAAGGGACCATCATTCTGACAACGACTCATATAGTAAACCCCCGAATAGAAGCCTTCAAGGGTCGATATAGGCTATAACTAGACCCAAGAGTAACCCAGGAATAAAAAGGGTGCCCTTTTTGCTTTAAAGGGGCTTGTAAGGGAGCCTGAACCCTAAAAAGGGGAATAAGGGCCTACTCTGGGTCCTAGATAAAGTTTTTTTTTGTTTATGCCCTCTTTTCCTCCTGCCCGTTCGGTTAGTTGGAATGCCATGCTGGCTGAGGGGTTGGTTCGGAGACTCGCCAGGGGTAAGGGTTTGGGGTCTAAGGCTTTTCAATACATCCCGAACTACACCTTCTAAGCCGAATGGAAACCTTCCCTAAACCCTAAACCCTAGGGTGTAGGGCTCAGTGTCAAGGATTCCGGGTTGAGGGCTTGGAGGTTAGACTTCGTGGCTTAGGGATGCTTAGGGTTCAGGTGTAGAGGAATTCATGGGAGTTAGGATTAGGGGGACCCTTGGGGATATAGACCCTCTCAATATGGCCCCTTTTAAGAGAGCCAGAAGTAGGGTTCAGAAGGGGTATCCTTTAAGGGGTCTCCCTAATAATACTACCTAATTCAATGACTCTGACCTAGACCACGAAAAGCAGGATCCGTGTTACAAGGTCCCCAAAATAGGAGACGCCTTGTCATTCAAACCCACAACCCCACTAAACACACAAACCGAAGTCAAACGGAAGCCGAGTTGCTTGATGAATCGCGGTGCGGTCTTTGAGTCATGCACCTCTGCATCCCCGCACCCTATACCTCTAACTGCCTAAGCTCTATAAACAATCTCTCTCCCTGCATAAAGATTTAGGTTTCTGGTTCAAGACTTTCTGATGCAGGCTTTTGGAGGGCTTTCTGCACTGTCTTTGCGTCTAGGGTTTAGGCTTTGGTCAAGCGCTCAGATCTGGATTGGGTTGTGAAGCAAGCACGGCTGTAGACATCTTGCTAAACCCTATCCTAAACCCGAAACCCCAGAGCTTACAGGGCCCATTCCCACGATCCGGTACATGCAGTCTAAGCCGAGTGGCATTACATCACCTGCAGCAAAAAAACCCTGAAAACAAATTCCTGAACCGTAAACCCTAAACACTAAACCCTCAACCCTAAACCTTCAGCCTCCACCCTCTATCCTCAAATCTCACCCTGATCCCAGAGACTCCCATATCCCTTATCTCTTATTCAAGGAATATACCCTAAATCAAGTATAGTAGGGATCCCTACTATACTGAATCTTAAAGACACCCACAAAAAACCTTCAACCCCCACCGCTTAAAGCCTCAACCTCGGGCCTGAACCCCGACCTTAAACCCTCAACGGTTTAGGGTTTAGGGTTTAGGGTTTAGGGTTTAGGGTTTAGGGTTTAGGGTTTAGGGCCCCGAAATCATATGAGGGATCTATAAAGCTACTATATTTTCTTGGGTTCTATAAGGGTTCCTTTAAAGGGGATCAAGGGATCTATAAAGGGTTTAGGGCTTAGGGTTTAGGCTGGTAACCTTAGGGCCTGGCAACCTCTGACAACACAGCCAAGCACAGGCTGGGCGGGCTGGAGCCGGGGAGGCAGGGCGTGCGATGCCACTCCGGCCCACCGTCAACCCAGAGCCATGACTACATCAGAGCATGTTCGAGGCCTGAAGCGTGGCCGGTCGAGTTACCGGCTGGCTGGCAACATCGAGGGCTGTCAGATGGATTGGTTCGATTGGCGTTTGGACTCGCAGGAACCGGGGAGGCTTGCAGGATCTAGGCTTGTTTGCCTGCAGCAGTTGCTGTCAAGAATTTCCTGCTAGTCGGCCTAGTTCGCCGTTTTGGCTGGAGCACTCTTGGCATGTGCGAAATCCTGAATCGGATCTGGGTTGTTAACCAAGGGTCCAACGGTTGATGATGTAAATCCTGCATGACCCATGATAAGGAATATTCCATACTTCCCATAGTTTAGGGTCCTTAAGGTAATGCAGGATTTATATCATCAACCGAAGTACCCAATAATCATATACTCTCCCAAATATTAGCCTACATAACTACTATCCTAGACCCAAGTAACGTAGGAACCTGATTAAGAAACCTTGGGCCTTTATTAGGGTTCCTAGAAATGAACCCTGAAATATTGGGGGTAATAGGGCCAGGGTTTCTCAATCAGGTTCCTACATTAGTTGAGCCCTCAAACCCAAACCCTCAAGCAAAAAAGCCCTGAAACCACCCGAAATGCTGCACCCTAAACCCTAAACCCTAAACCCTCTGCATCCTAGGAGCTGAAAGATAAAGACCCTGACCGGGAACACCTCGACCCGAAACCTGCACCCCCCCCAAACCCGCCATCCTGCACCTGAACGGCCTGAACCCTAGGTTCAGGGTTCTGGGTTTCTGGGTTTAGGGTTTAGGGTTTAGGGGTTCAGGGTTCTGGGTTTCTGGGTTTAGGGTTTAGGGTTTAGGGGTTTAGGGCTTAAACTCTATCACGTTCTCCAGACTCCAAAAAAAGCCTATAAAAGCCTATAGAACCCTTAAAGGAACCCCTGAACCTGAAAGAACCTTTAAAGGGAACCTTCAACGGAACCTTCAAGGTAACCCTGAAGGGAAACCCCAAACCTAAAACCCAAAGTCCTAGACCCTAAACCGTAGACCCTAAACTCGGCTCTAAAGCCTAAAACCCCAAAACCCCAAACTCTAAACCCAAAACCCAGAACCCTGAACCCTAAGACCCAACCCTAAACCCTGAACCTGAAACCCTAAACCCCGACACTACTGAGACTCTGACCCATCGACTAAGTGGGCCAACGAACTCGTGGGCCTCGCCGCTTGCTTCTCTAAACTACTATTTGCTTAAGAACACCCAAAAAATAAAAAATGATAATCCCTATATTATCCCTATAAGGAATATATTTTTTTTATTTTTGGGTGGTTCTTAAGCAAATAATAGTAAACTAAAAGGCTTTTCGGACCCGGGGTTGCTAATAGAGGGTACTTGAAGGATCATGGGACTTAGCAAGTGGGGTTATAGGTACCCTAATTGGGGTTATAAGTAATTATAAGTATAGTTACCTTAATTATAACCCTAGTTACTAAGTCCCATGATCCTTTAAGTAATCACCAATACTATTTTGGGCGCTCCCTATTATAATTATGACATAAATGGGCCCCAAAACCCTATTCTAACTATTGAGACTCTTACAGTAAGGGCTTGTGTTTTTTGACACATTCAGGATACTTAGGAAGTGAATGTGTTTTCGGCTCTCTGATCCAAAAACTCCCTCGCCTCAAGGGGCGAAACATACTCCCCTCTCATGATGGCAGATATCAAGACAAGGTAAGTATCTACAGGGGTCTGCAGTACTCCACCTTTTTTGAACCTTATCGAGCCTGGGAATTCTTAGGTCTCTTGGACTACAGTGCTAAGTGGTACATCGCTTCTGAATCATCCCAGTGGCTTTGGAAACTATCACCTCGTGATGCTAGCTTCCGTGCTAAAATCTAAATGCTTCGAGCACGGAGTTTCAGAGTTTAGACTCAGCCTGATGGGCAGGTTTAAACTGCACACCCCCCAAACGTTCAATGAATCCCGTCTGGGATCTCGCTTAGGGCTTGTTTCGGGACCTGAAGGATCAGAGAAGTATCTTGAGGCACTGAAAACGATGATACAGCAACACTAACCCTGAACCCTTAACTCTTAAGCCATAACCATGAACCCGAAATCATAACCGTAAACCCTTCACCCTAAACTGTAACCTCAGGAAGTGGTCTTCTGATTGCACAACACTCCGACCTCTAACATGGGCAGCTATTCAAAGAAGGGTCCTGAAAGAGTCGTTTTTAGTTCGGACTCCCAGAGGGCAGAGGCTTAGATTCGAAATTTTAAACCCCCATTGAATCTGGAATTCGGCCTTATTGGTTTTCATAAGGGGGTGCCCTACTTTAGAGAACTGCCCATTTCAGCAGTTCGATCGGCCCCTTGCAAATCGCGCGCCTCGATGTAGCCCGAACCATCTGCATCGATCATCCTTATGCAAGAGAGTTTAGGGTCTTAGGGTCTAATTAGAGCGTCATGGGACTTAGTAACTAGGGTTGTGAGTTTAGGGTCTTAGGGTCTAGTTAGAGGGTCATGGGACTTGGTGACTAGGGTTGTAACTAGGGTAACTATACTTGTAATCACTTACAACCCCAATTAGGGTACTTATAACCTTACTTACTAAGTCCCATGATCCTCCAAGTAGGGTCTAGGGCTTAGAGCTTCAGAAGAGTTGGGCCAGGAGCGGCTTTCATAATTAGAACCCCCAAATTAATTTAGGAAATTATTCGGGCCCCTAAAGTAGACCCTCAACACTCAACCCTAAATGCCCGTGAGGAGCTTCATGCAAAGAAGTTGGCGTGGTAGTGCATGGGTGCACGTTGCTGTTGTGCTCCGCCGCAGGTGGACAGCGTGGGCGGAAACATGAGCTCCTCGACATGTTCCTTGCCAGAATCCGGAGCTTGCTCGCCGCCCTCGGCCGCCTGCCCTCAGCCACCTCGGGAAGCCACATGCGGGGCTGCGGCTGATGGGCTATTTCGCGGACGCGGCGATGTGAATCAGCCATGTAAGGTCTGTGTCGCTGAGCTCGCGCAGGCGCTCACGCAGAACGCACATCGGCACGAAGCTCGGGCAGCGTCGTTACGTACGCAGGTAGGTGGCCAGACACATAGACAAGCAGGTAGGTAGGTGGATACATGGGTAGATAATGGCAGATAAGTAGACAAGTCGATAGCTAGATAGAGGCATAGATAGACGGACACATAGACAAGTAGATGCTGCATATTTCCGGACTCACTCTTGACAGATGTGAGCCTTCGCAGTCAATAGGGCTTCGACTGTCGACGGAACGAAAACCCTACGCTTGTAGACAGAATGCTTGAGCCGCAGCCATCCTGTTTAGGGTTTAGGGTTTAGGATGTGTCGCACCTAGCCCTAAACCCTAAACCCGGGCCCTACCATAATCCACGATGCAAAAGAACACTTTCGACTTTGGCCAAAGATGGAGCACACACGCCCTGAACCCCCCGAATACAGGGACCCTCATTGTCAGACAAAGCTTTGTTGATAGGCTTTGACATAACTACACCAAGGTAACACTTTCCATCCGCGTTGTGGGGAGCCCTAAACCCTACAGCTACCGAAAGCGCAGACTGAGATCCGAAAAAAAGCCTCGAACCCAGATACAAAGAAAGTCTCAGACCCGACCTCCGAAACTGGCAAACTAATGTAGGGGCCTTAACAATTAGAACAGGGTTCTGAGGGGCCCTTATACAAAAAATTATGAGCAGGAACCACCATAATTATAATAAGGAACCACCATAACTATGATAAGGACCCCCGATAATTATAATAAGGAATCCGCATAATTAAAATATGGAGCCCCATAATTTAAATAAGGAGCCCCCAAGATTAGTATAGGTGATTACGGTGAGGACTCAAAGTGTGGCCCCTTTAAAAAAAGGGTGCCTTTAAAAGGGATCTATAAGAGTACTATAAGGGTGTAGGGTTTAGAGGCTACTATGCTAGGTTCCTGAGTAGCCCCTTTATGAGAAGGGTACCCTGTTTCCTACGATTCTGACTTTAAGAACAGGAGATCCTCTCCAAAAAAGAAGGCAAACAGGAGCTGATCCTCCCAGGCCCCAAAGACCCTGACATCCCAAATCCGGCGAAAACAATCGTTAAGCTTAAGGGTTCGGGTTTAGGGTTATAGGGTTTTGGGGTGTAGGGCTTAGGCTTACAGAGTTCAGGGTTTCGGGTTTAGGGTTATAGGGTTCGGGATTTGGAGTTTAGGCTATAGGGTTTAGGGTTTCGGGCTTAGGATAACAGGATCTAGGGTTTGTTAGTGTTGGATTTGAGTTTTGTGGGCTAGGGCTGGAAGCCTTAATTGTGATAGAAACAATCATACTTCTTATTGCTTTTGCGATTATTACTATGCTGTGGGAGTGCAGTGCAAGCCAAGGTGCAAAAACAGCTGATGCAGATCGTGCTCATCGATGTCCATGACGCGGAGCCTATCAGCGCGTCCAGAACTGGGTGCGCAGGAAATCTTGACAAAAGCCAGCAACGAACACTAAAGGTTATCAGCAGGCTTCAAACCCTAAAGACCCTTAAACCGTAAAGTTCTGAACTAACCTTCTTACAGAACACGTATAGACCGTATAGAGTCCCTACATAAACCCTCTGTAAACCCTGGAAAACCCTCCCTTCGCATGTGCCGTGCGAGCAACCGAGACTGAGAGCTGCATCTTTTTCTTGAGAGTTTAGGGTTGTAGGGTTTTTTGTTTAGGGTTTAGGGTTTGGGGTTTAGGACTTACGGCTCTCCCAAACAAGTGCCCTTCCACCGTCCCAAGCACACACTTTGACCACGCCACTTGTGCCCAAGATAAGATAACATCTTGAATACCCTCTTGTGGCTCCGTGTATCACGACAGAAAAGGCGATCGTATTAAACACACGACTGCTAAACTTGCAATTCACAGTAGCACGGACATTAAAAGCTTTGGGGGAAAAGCTCCCAGGAGGAGGTCCCAGCACGCTTTCTACCCCAAGCCAGTTTAGGGCTTAGGGTGTAGGGGTTACTACTATTTGCTTAAGAACCCCCCAAAAAATAAAAGATATATTCCTTATGGGGGTAATATAGGGATTCTTATGTTTATTTTTCGGGGGTTTCTTAAGCAAATAGTAGTTGAGGGTAGACCCTAAACCCCGAAAACATCCCAGAAGGCCGAAAGCAAACCTTGGTTTAACTCGGGCCTGCTCTGAAAGGAAGGATCCGTGCGTGCTCCTGCGAGCGGATGTAGTCTTAAGCTTTGGAGCTGAAGTTAAGGCTTAGAGCATACCTTAACCTACCAAAACCTACAAAAAAGTAGGGTCCCTATAAATTCCATAAGAGGGGGAAAATAAGAACCTACAAAAAGAACTTACAAAAAGGTAGGGTTTGGTAGGTTAAGGTAGGGCTCACGGTTAAGGGTCAAAGCTCCGGGCTCAGAGGTTAGGTCTTAGGTCTTGTGTCTTGAGGTTGAAAGTACCAGGCAAGGTGTAGGTTCCTTTGTGTTCACGCTAATTATATAACCTATCTTAATTTACAGGGTCTAGGGTCTAGGGCCTGTATAAAAATCCCTGACCCTGATATGTAATTCTATAGAATTTACCGACAGCAACGCAGGTTTCGGTGGTTCACGGTGGGTCTCAGACTCACAACTTTGACACACAAATCTGGGAATCACCATCTCTTAGCGCGGCAATGAGGCGTCTGGTTTTGTGTCGGGGTGTAGGGTTTAGGACTTGGGGTTTGGGGTTTAGGGTGATGATTCCGGAACACAATTGCGGGACGCAAAGGAAGAATTTAGGGCTTCAAGTTCTTTGTTGTTGAGCTTCTTTTTCTCCCCGTTCTATCCGCACTCCGATGGGAGGGTACGGGGTACGTCCAAATCCTGCATTACCTTAAGGATCTAAACTGTTGGAGTTATGGTACATTCCTTGCTATGGGTGATGAAGGATTTATGTCATCAACCGTATCTCATGTAACTGGGGCTTGTGTTTTGGGATTTAAGTAGGCGAGTAGAAGTGATGGTGTAGCACGGCGACCCTCTCTTTGGGTCACTAGGGTTTACGGTGTCGGGTTTAGCGGATTTCGGGGTTTCATGGGGTAGGGGAGTAGGGTCTTGGAAACCAACTCGGGGTGTACTGATGGGAGTAGTCGGCGGGGGCGGGTGCAGCGTTACACAACTTGACGCTGCCCGTGGCCCAATGGAAGCTTCCAGCCACCCGGGCATCCAGATGAGTCAGGAGCTTTTCCGTCGCAGGTGCCCTGCGCGGAAATGTATTCTCCACAAGTCCTCGGACAACGACCATGCCGTTTTTCGCCTGGATAAACTTGCCATGTGAATGCAAATCATGCAGTACGAACCCGTCCTCATCTTCTGCGGACACCAATGCCTAAACCCTAATAAATCCCGAGGCAAACACTGAGATTAGTTTTTGCACACAACCTCCAATGCCCCTGCAAAAAAAAACTAAAAGACCCTAGACCCTACATTACACCCAAAACCACTTAACTTAGGGGCCTTGTAATAGCTAGAATGGGGTTTGAAGGCATACTATACTACAATTACAGCAAGGTGCCCCCCAAAATAGTATCGGTGTTTCTTGAGGCCCCTATATCATAGTACCCTATACTGTAGATCCCTTGTAGCAACCCTCATAGAGCCCTTTAAAGGAACCCTATTCTAATTGTTTAAGCCCCTCTATCAGAGACTTAGCCCGTCCTTGGACCGGCACACAGCCCCTAATGCCCCTATGTTCTAGTACCCTTATAGCAACCCTTATAGGGCCCTTTAACGGTACCCTAAGAGAAACCCTAAAGGACCTTTAAGGGACAAGGGGAGGCGGATTCGAGACTTAGCCCGTCCTTGGACCAGGTCATCTAGCGACAGCCTTCCGGTGCCGTCCCGATCGATGCGGTCAAACCTGGGGGGTTTGGGAGCTTTACGCTGTTAAGGCTCGCTTAAGGTTGAGGGTTAGGGTAGACGGTTTCGGGTTAAGGGAAGTTTAGGGTTGGGCTTAGTGTGTAGGGTGTAGGGTTTTAGGAGTTGCTTTAGGGGTTTCGAGGACAGGCTGGACGTTCTACGGGGCTTTTCAGCTTTTTGCGTATGTGGGGTGTTCCTAGCTAGAAGTTGAGGGTTTTGCAGTTTGAGGCTTTGGGGCCTTGGGGTGCTACTCTTTGGTGATTTGTAGTGCTGCTGCCATATAAACCGCTCTCAAATCCCATACATTGAAAGTGCTCAACGATAAACCCTAACATAGGGCCTTAATCATTAGAACCGGGTTTTGGGGGCTCATTCTACTACAAGTATAATAAGGAACCCCCCAGCCAAAACAGCATTGGTAACTATTCAAGCCCCTATCGTTATACCATAAATATGGAACCCCCTAAATCGTTTTGATTAACTTAAGCCCCTTTAGTAAACCTAAAGCCCTAAGCCGAGAGGCAGTTTCTGCAGCTCCTTTCGGTCATACTCCACATCGTCGTTCAACTCCTGCATCGGGCCAGAGGGACAAGCTTGCGGGTTTTAGGGTTTCATAATTTGGGAGCTTCCGAAAATAGGGGACCCTAATATCGTACCCTAGATAGTAGGATCCTTACGATAAGGACCCCCAAAATAAGGTACCCCCTGTGTAAATCAAACCCCCACATGGGGTTTGGGGTTTAAGATTTAGGGCTTGGGCTTTGGGCTTGCAGTTGTTGGGACTTGTAGCGTTTAGGGTTAAGAGTTGGGGCCTAGGGTTTGGGGTGTACGCATACTTCCGCTCAAAACACTCAGAACCTTGAAAGAAAACGGAAGATTCCATAGCAAATTATGGACACCAGTATGAACCCCCTTACACACGGTTCGAGAACACCTGTATATATAAACAGAAATACCTGAACCTTAAAGACTAAACCCTAAATGCGAGACCCTAAACCCTAAACCCTAAACCCTAGACCCTAAACCCTAAACCCGCAGCCTCTGCGAGGTCGTCGAACTCGTTGGAGCGTGCCTCTGCGAAGGTGTCCACGATCCTTGGTTCATTTAGCGCTCTATGGGCCATTTATGGGGTTTATTGGGTGTTGTTGGGTTTACTTGGTGTATTTTAGCGCTCTATGGGGTTATAGGGTACTTGGGCTTGCATGGTCCAGTTTAAGGTTTCAACGGGCTTGTTTCTGTGGTGCCGTTTAACCGGTTTAGTCTGACTTTGTCGGGTAAGGGGCGTATGGTGGGAGGGTTCGGGTTTGAGGTTAAGATATAGGATTGGGATGGAATTTGGGGCTTGTAGTGTGGGGCTTGCTTCATAACGCAGGGATCCAAGGGACAGATTCTAGAACCTTAAAGGCTTAAGGGTGTATGGGGCTTAAGATGTAGAGTTCTAGTGAGGCTTTGAAAGAGAGATTGCGTTTCAGAGCTTGCAGACTTGACTTACGGGTGCAGACCTTGGGGGTTCAAGGTTTCAGCTTGAAAGGAAATGTAATTAGGGCAAAAGGGCTTCAGGGCCTAGAGCTTAGGGACTGAGGGTTTGGGTTTAGGGTTTAGGGTATAGGGTGGCTAGGGCTTGTGTAGCGACACGAGTCTGTTGCTTTCTAACAGTGCTCCGCGCTTTTATTCGGGTTTGTAAAGGCCTGACAGGGGGGGGGGGGCATACAAGAGGTGATACGGTGTTTTGCTACGTATATGCTATCTAAGCTCACTAAAGTCTTATCCAGTTGCTCTTTGTCTTGTCAACAACTGGCGTCTGTCTTGTCAACAACTTGCGTCGGGGCAGGCCGCACAGCCCCAATTCTCTCCATACCCGCTAAACCCTCTTAACCAACCGTCCCTTGCAGCACATACCTTGATGATATAAATCCTGCATTACCATAATGCCAATAAGACCTTCTACGCAACCCCACAATACCCTAAATCTTGTGAGGCCACCTAGGGCTCCGGCTGCCCAAATAGTAGGTTGCTAGGTTACATTACATAGGGTTAGCAACCCACTAATTAATTCGGTAACTGGAGCCCTAGGGAATGCAATAGTCTGACATAAACCCTACCTTAACCTACCAAACCCTACCTTTTTGTAGGTTCTTATTATAAACCCTCATATGGAATTAAAAGGGACCCTTCTTTTTTGTAGGTTTTGGTAGGTTAAGGTAAACCCTAAACTCTAAACCCCATTAACCCTAAACCCCCTAAACCCTAAACCACCCTAAACCACCCTAAACCCTAAACCACCCTAAACCCTAAACCACCCTAAACCCTAAACCCTAAACCACCCTAAACCCTAAACCCCAGCATGAACTCCTCCAGGTCGCACAGCCACGATGAGGTTCAGCACACCAAAGACTAGGGTCAGCGAGGAGCCCACGAAGATGATCGCCGTTTCCTTTGTGGGTAGGGTTTACGGGTTTAGGGCGTAGGGTTTAGGGTTTGGGAATAGAGTTAGTTTCTAGGGTTTATAGGGTTTATAGGGTTTATAGGGTTTAGGGTTTACAGTTCAAGGTTTACGGCAAAGGGTTTTGGGGTTTTGGGTTTAGAGTTTAGGGCTTTAGGGCATAATAGGGTTTAGGGTTTACGGGGTTCGGTGGTTCAGGGCTTGGGGCATAAGGTCACTGCAAGAGATGGAATTTGATGAACCTTTGCGAAGAGGATACTTTAGAGCGTTGATACGGTTTACAACTTATAGAGGTGGAAGGGTTTCATGAACGTTTGTAAGGCTTACTAAGCGTTGCTAAGCGGTACTACAAGTGTTGCGATGAGGGTTTCCTCTACGAGTTCTGCCATCTACGCGAAGATGTGTATCCCGATGTTCCAAATCCTATGGATACGCGGCCTCGGGCTTTTTTTCGCGACGCCTTTCGTCAACAGAAGCTGCTTAAACACAAGAAATCCTGAAGGCTTGGAGATACATCCTCCGAAACCGCGGCAGCACTCTCCAACCCCGTGATCCCAAGACCCACCGCAAAGCGCCTCAAGGCTTCCTAAAACGGAAGCCTGGACGATGGACTGGCTGAGGCTTGTTTCAAGGTGTTTTATTGTGTCTTCACGAACATACTCGGCTATATGTTGCCAAAGTGTAGTGTTGTGGGCATCCGTTTGCGGCTGTTGACTGTGAGGCTCCCAGCATTCGAAGTATAATAAGTAGAATCGGCTTTTGGGGTGGATATTCTACATATGGTAAGCCTCGCATTATAAGAAGATACGATTACCAACTACAGGCTTTAGGCTGTATTGTTAGGAACCCTAACCCGAAACCCTCCACCCTAGATCCTACAAGGCGTAGGGTTCAGGATTTACGTTCCGTGAAGGCTCAGGGTCGATTATCGGTTTAGGGCTTAAGCTTTAGGCCCTTCAGGGTTTGGAGAGCCCATTGAAAACCGCCCCGGGATTGGCATTGGCGTTAGGGTTCAAGGTTTGGGGCTACTCCGCCTTAGTGCAGAAGCTGTTGTTGTCTTGACCGTGGTCAGAGCTTTAGGACCTACAGCTTGAAGATTTTCCCTAAACCCTAAACCCTAAACCCTAAACCCTAAACCCTAAACCCTAAACCCTAAACCCGGAAACCCTAAACAGGACACAACCATGATATTCCTGAGCTGCCGGCAGGCTAGAAGCCTCGAAGTTTAAGCGCTGACACCAGCAGAATACGGTTGATGATACAAATCCTGCATTACCTTAATCAGCCTAGACTATGGGAATTATGGTATATTCCTTATTATGGGTAATGCAGGATTTAGATCATCAGCCGTATCTCCCCTTGATGTTCCGGCGCATATGTTTTTGCGCCAAGTGTCAGGATGCAACTGGATCACAGGCACGGCGATCTCACCCCAGCTATCCCCGGCGACCACCTTGGGTTTTGCATGTGGTGAAACCCGAGACCCTAAACTCAAAATAAAGGAATATTCCTTACATCATATTAAGGATCCTACGATAATTTAAGGTATATTCCTTAATTAAGGGGTATTGGAGTCTCTGGGTGGTGAAGCCCCGACACCCTAATCGCTTCATCCCTGGACTCTCGACCGTAGATCCTGAAACCCCGTAGCCCGGTACCCAAAACGCCAAGTCCTAACTTCGTAAAGCACCCAACCGCTGCATTCGGGCCTATGACTTCGGTATGGTTCTGCCAGTTCAGACCCTTGGGTTTGATATGAAAGATTGAGTATAGGGCTTCGGATTCAGGGTGAAGAAGCAATGACGAAGAAGCAATGACAGCAAGGACTCTGACGACCCAGGTAAAGTCTACTGGACCTACTTACTAAGTGCCATGATCCTGCAAGTAGGCAGAAGCCCAGTAGTGAGGATAGGATACCTTGCTACCAGCGTGGACAGCCCCAACGAAGTTGCCACACTGTTGTATGCATGCTAATCTTCACCCACCTTCAACAAACATCACCGTCATCATTCTGGAAATCAGAAACACCAACGTTGTCACAGTCGATATCCGGGACGGACTGCCAACACCCACAAGAACCAGAGTAATCGTCCAAAGCAGGCCGCGTGCGCCTACTGGAGGGCGAAAGAAGAGACTTGGGATCTTCTTCGAAGTATACGCATGGCACTTAGTGTTTGATCTGTATGGATCCAAATTCCGAGGCTTTGTCCGAGTTTTGCAGCTCACAGGCCGCATGCTGCAGATTGCAAAGACTTGTGACTAATGCGAAGCCAGGTACACATGAGGAATGTGGATAACAAACCGAACCGGTAAACTCCTGACTTGTCCCAGACCCAGAGAGTCCAATACCCCTCAAAACGATGCTATGAACTCATCATGCAAAGCCCAAACTACCAGTTAAGGACTACTCCCTCAAACCCGCCCGCAGCCCGTCGACCCTTCACCCGCGTGCTCTGGGAGATACACCTTGGACTTGTTCAACCGGAGGTTGACTCAGACGAGAAGCCCGGTTGAACCCTGTAATTTAAAATGACAAAACACTAAAAGCCGAATCCCTGCAGCATAACACTGAAATCCTATCCCCAAGACCTCTGAGCATTCAACCATACACCCTACAAAGGCCATCCTAGAGCCCCCACACCCGAAAGCCTGAGCCCTAATTCTTTACACCCTATACCCTACAGCCCCAGAAACCTTAAGCCCACCGAATTTTGGGAGAGCTGCCGTCTTGAAGAGAAGCCTCGGATACGGAGGCTGCGTTACTAAAGTAGTTTAGGGGTTAGGGTTTAGGGTTTGGGTTTAGGGTTTTGGGTTTAGGGTTTAGGGTTGAGCGTTTTTTCTTGTGGGGGGCGTTTGCACGGCAACAAGGCTTAGGATGTAGGGTGTAAGACAGCAATGATGTGGGTGGTTGAACCCAAAAACGTTTTTTTGAAGCCGCAGAGGCCCAAAGTCAGATTGCCAAGAGATTACCAGTTGAGGCTTGCATTACAGTAGAAGCCGGAAAGTTGGAATATCATTATCATAATCCCTTTAAGGTAAACTATAGGGAATCCTGCCATTATTTCATATTCCAACTTTCTGGAGTTCCCTTTATTGGTTTTTTCAGGGTTTCGGGTTTAGGGTTTCTATAGGGTTTAGGGTTTAGGGTTTCTACAGGGTTTAGGGTTTAGGGTTTCTATAGGATTTAGGGCTTAGTGTTTCTATAGGGATTAGGGTTTCTACAGGGTTTAGGGTTTAGGGTTTCTACAGGGTTTAGGGTTTAGGGTTTCTATAGGGTTTAGGGCTTAGGGTTTCTACAGGGTTTAGGGTTTAGGGTTTCTATAGGGTTTAGGGCTTAGGGTTTCTACAGGGTTTAGGGTTTAGGGTTCTAATAGAGGCCTGAGTACAAGCGTCTCACGCCGAACATCTTGCAAACAGTCCCTCAACCCTAAACCCCTAAACTCCGGTTCATCAACCCTACTTGCTTGAAACCCTAAACCCTAAACCCTAAACCCTAAACCCTAAACCCTAAACCCTAAACCGTCGCTAGGGTCTCGGGCTTAGGGTTCAGGCTCAGGGCCTTGAAAGTTCGCCGTACGCGTTTAGGTCAGGGTTCACATTTCAGGGTGCCATTATAGTATCCTTAAGGGAGGGGGGTCCAAGGGGGGTATATAGCCTAGTGATCCCTAATTCTCCCTAGTACTCCCTAAGGTTCCCTTACAGTCCCCTAAAGATTCCTTATACCCTCCCCCCCTTGAACCACCCTCCCTTAAGGATCCTATAATGCCAGCATGCGCCAGCCTACAACTAAGCTGCTCTAAACCCCAAACACCCAGAAGAGCCCCGAGACCGTTCGAGACCCTGCAGAATCGCAGACACCCAAAGGATACCCTAAACCCAAACACCCTGAAGAGACCCTAAGTCATCCAGAAGAAACACAAAACTCCAAACACCCAAAAGAAATCCTAAAACCAAACACCCAAAGCAAAGCAAACCCACACCCAAACACCCAAACACCCAAAAGAAACCCGCAACCCTACATCCCTGACGAGAAGTTCCGGAAGCAAGTTGGCATCCATGACAGAGGATGTAGACCGTAGGCACTGGTCACCGCCTTGAAATGCCAGGTTTCCCGGGATATTGGGATTAGAGGGGTGTAGGACTTTAGGGCTTTAGGACTTTAGGGCTTTAGGTCTTTAGGGCTTTAGGGCTTTAGGGTGTCGGACTCTCGGGCTTTAGGCTTCTGAAGCTTGGGGTGTTGGAGTCTGGGGTTGAAGGTTTAGAGTGTGGGGGGTTTGAGGGCCTGCGGTTCAAGCCTATATACACCCAAATCCTACCAGTTTCGAGCACCCTGAGACCGTGATACTTTGAAATCCGAAAACTCCCCATGAGCTTGGTCATTCTGCGGACCTCGAGATTACTTCTGCTACGGCTGATGGACAACATCCTGCGTTAAACAGATAAAGCTAGCTATAAACAAAATCATAATTCGCACGTTCCGGAGACTAGGAAAGCCTGGTTGATGCATTGCCTGAACCAGAAAGGCTCACCCGGACAGTAAGTTTCAGAAACCCTACTAAATAGAAGCCCCTTACAGGTGAGTAGTTCCTCTTCCATAGTAATGCCATAGTACTCCCATAAGACCCCCTTTACCTTATAGGAGTGGTATGGGAGGCTTATGGGAAACTACCCACCTTGTAACTACCCACCTGTAAATGTCTTAGAACTAAACCCCAAGAGCTACTTGGATGCTGTTGCCTCAGAGTCTCAGGCCCTAAACCCTGAGCCCCTCAACCCTAAACCTAAAACCCTAAACCCTGAACCGTAAACCTAAAACCCTGAAGCCTAAACCCCAAACCCTAAACTGCAAAAACCCGAAACCGAAACCCTAGACCCTAAACCTGACACCCTAAGCCCTAAACCCTAAAGCTAAAACCCTAAACCCTAAACCTAAAACCCCAAACCCAAAACCCTAAATCCTAAACCTAAGACCCTAAACCCTAACCCTAAACCTAAGACCCTAAACCCTAACCCCTAAACCCCAGAGCTTCAGCCGGGTGTCATTCGTCGAAGGCACCGTTCTGCGTCATCTGAGTCACCAGAGGGTGAACGTACTCCTCGGCAAAGTGGCTAGGGTTTGGGGTTTAGGGTTTAAGTAAGGGTTCAAGGGATCCTTCAAGGGCTCCTGTCAGGGTTCCTTCAGGAGCTGCTTTTGGGGCTCCTGTGGGTTTAGGGTTTTTTGGGGGTTCCTGTAACGGGCTCCGTCAAAGGGCTCCTTTCAGGGTTATACTAAAGCCGTGAACCCAAGCCCTGCAGTAAACTCTAAACCCTGAACCGCTCGATCCTGAACCCTAAGCCCCTAAACCCTAAACCCCTAAACCCTAAGCACCAAACTCATAAACCTAAGCCCTCATCCGACTTGCTAGGTCCTAGGTGGCACGCCGGGGCTGTCGAACTGGAACAAATAACACGGATGTACAAGTACTTACGGTTTGGGGCTTAGCTTTGGGGCTCAGGGTGTCTAGCTTCTAGGTTTTAGTGTTTGTGTTAGGGTTCAGGGTTAAGCGTTTGGGGTTTGGAGTTTCTGATTAGGTTCAGCGTAACCCTGTGACTACGACACGGCGTGACTTAGTGAGACCAATCAATGAGCGTTAGGTTTGTTCAAGATGCTCGTATGCTTTGTGGTGATATTGCTATTTGGATTGGGTTTCCTGCACAACTATCTTTGACACGGCCCAGATGCCACCATCAGCATGGCCCAACCGGTCATGACGAGAAAGCCTGATTTCTTGGATGATGAAGGGGCTATATAGCATGGGCTTGGAAAATTGATTCGGGAGTTGTACACCGAATAAAGGCAACATGCAACACTGTGTCATACCAATACACGTTACATGAACACAGATGGACTTGTAACGCTCTAACCCAGCATACATGATGGGATAGTTTAACAGCTACACGACCGTGTCCAGATGTATGTGTGTGAGTAGAGTATGCGACATGCGCATGCCACATACACCAGTACTGGACGCCATGGGAGATGTATAGGTACGTATGTGCACATACATGACCTAATATGTGTATAGCTTATATATACATGTACACCTATACACGTACATACATACATGTACATACAGACATACATACAAACTACTTACATACATACGTACATCACAATTACATTACATAAAGTACATACAGTACATACATTACATACATACGTACAATACAATACAATACAATACAATACAATACAATACAATACAATACAATACAATGCAATGCAATGCAATGCAATGCAATGCAATGCAATACAATAAAATACAATACAATACAATACAATACATACAACAGATACATTACATACATTACATTACATACAGTACATACAGTACATACATTACATACGTACCTACATACATTGCATTACATTACATTATATCACTTCACATTACATACAGATAGACATGTAAACACACACACACACACTCACACACATGTACGTATACAAACCGACCCAGTCACCAACTCCCCCCACACACACACACACACATAAACACCTGTAATTTTAATACGAGGCACTGTCGCACGTTATTCCTCAATTCCCTCGGAGAACTAGAGAGGCTACATGGCCAAACTCTCATCATCAAGGCTCAAACTCCTGACCTGTACGTATATATATATATATATATATATATAGATAGACAGATAGATATATATGTACACACATGTATGTATGTATGTATGTATACATAATATGTATATATATATATATATATATATATATATATATGCATCTATATATATGCATATATATATATATATATATATATATATATATATATATATATATATATATATATATATATATATATATGGTCACGCGCTCCGCAGACCCCCCCCCCCTCCCCCCCCAAAGGTCAATGGTCCGGATATAGGGTGGGCCCCCCCCTCCCCTGTGGTGTGGGGTGTGGGGTTCCTCTTCCCCCTGTGGGGTGGTTGTGGGGTTTTGGGGTTTGGGGTTTAGCTTAAGCTTTTGAGTTTTGGGTTTACGGTTACAAGGTATAAGGCTTCGAGTCGACAGCCTGCAGTTAGGTGGGGTTTAGGGTTTTGTGTAAGGTTCGAAGTGCAAGTTAAGGTTACTCAAAGCCAGGGCACGCGCTGCGTTATAGGGTTTACGGGTTGCTTGCGAAGGGCTTGCGTGTGAGCCCTGGCCGCCAGCACCATCCCACCATCCAGTGGCAGCTCCAACGGCCCCGACCCCTTTCCGCACACGCCAGCACCCCCCCCCCCCCACCCCTAGCAGACCATACCATTGGGGGGGGGGGGGGGGGGGCTGGGAACGCCAGACGCCTGACCATATATATGTATATGTATGCGTGTGTGTCTATGGAACGATGCTTCAAGGTCCAGGGCTTTCACCCCAAATCGCGTCGGAGTGAGGTTGTAGGTTTGGGTCAGGGTTTACCGTTCAGGGTCTAGGGTCTAAGGATCAAGGTACCCTAAACCCTAAACCCTAAACCCTAAACCCTAAACGTAGCATTTAGGGTTGATGGTCTAAGGATAGCGGCTTCGGGTTTACGGTCTAGGGTGTAGGTGAAGGCATTGAGGCTCTCTGCTCTCACTTGCGATCTGCAGGCGCTGCCCACACCCCTCCTTACCCTCACTCCCATACTCTAAAGCCCTCAACTCAATACCCACCTTTAAGGGTTTAGGGTTCAACCCTCGCAAGCACCCAAGCCTTAAAGCCTAGAGCCCCACAACTCCCTGTGAGTCCCGATAAAACCCAATAACACCATCAAAGGCAGTGGAACAAGTCCTAGAAACCCTCGAAAGGTTTAGAAACCCTATGAACCGTCAAACAAACCGAAAACCCCATATGGAACCTAATCCCTAAACCCTAATCCCTAATGCGCAATCCCCAAGCCCTAAATTCTACCCCATGGAACCTTCACCTGCGTACTTGAGCCACTTAACGCGACAACCTCGGTCTCCCACAACCACCCAGACCCGTTTAGGGTTTGAGGTTTAAGGCTCCAGGCCTAATTTTATGTTTATGGTCTGGGGTATAGGCTTTGTTGTTGCGTGCCCTTTTCCATCTAGCATAATCTAGAAATCCTAAGTAGCAGGAGCCTGTTTCAGGGCCAACCTGCCCTGTAGACCCTTGTAGATCCCTGTAGGGAACCTTTGAAGACAGAAAGGATCCACTTTTTACCACAAGAAGTCTAAACCCGACACCCTAAACCCGACTGGACGCCAGGGAGCAGAAAAGGAAAGACCAAAGCAGTGTCAGAAAGCAAGTCCTGGGTTTAGGGTTTAGCGTTTAGGACGTAGGGCTTAGGGCTTCGGGCGCAGGAATTCGGATTTTGGGCTTAGGTGTTTGGTGTGCCTTCTTGCTTTGCACGGCTCTTTAGGGCCTCGAGGCTTCGTTTTGCGGTTCAACATTTGGGGTTTAGGGCTTAGGGTTTAGGGTTTAGGGGTTTAGGGTTTAGGGGTTTATTTGGGGTTTAGGGCTTGTGGTCAAGATTTGAGATGCTTTGTGTTCTGTGGAGAAAAAACTCCGGTGATCGAAAGGGGCGAGGGCCCAAAACTCTTTGAGGGTTCAGCATGAATGGATGGTTTACTTACCTCTGGTTAGTATTGAATGGAGGAATGGGGTAACATTAAAATTACTAATTACTATTACTACCATTCTTCCATTCCCTACTAACCAAAGGTAAGTTTAGGGAGAAAGGCTTCCCATATAGCCGTAAACCCCTAAACTCTAAACTGCCGAGAGTGCCGCTGACCATTTGCATGGGCGCTCGAGGCTCCGACCGAGGCCCTCGGACGAGCGTCTCGTCAGAACGGTGAGGGAGGCTCCCCGGTAGACGAGGACTGCAGTGACGCCGCCCCGCTCTTGACCTCTTGTTTGTTGGAGAGCCTTGCTTATCGTCGAGTGGCCGGGACAAGCCGCGACCACACCCGACACCAATCCATTTCAGCTGTGGTTTGCAGAGAGCAAGAAAGCCCCCGTTGAGGGGGGTTTGGGGGGTGAACCCTAAACCCTACTCGAGAATAATTGGTTGGGGTGGTTGGGGCGGGACTACATGCTGACGCAAGCGCGATAAGCGGGTGCCGGGTGCCCCTATTCCTGAAGCAAAGGCGCACCCACCGCGCGCAGGCTGTATACACATTCTAAACCCTAAACCCTAAACGCGTAGGGTTTATGACTTGGGGCTTCGGGTTTTGGGCTTAGGGCTGGGGTTCTACTGCTTAGCCTTTGGGAGTTTGGGGTTTCCTGACTTGGGGCTCTGCGGGTTTACGCTGGGCTTTAAGCTTTGGGACGGCCACGGAAGGACGTGGCTTGGTCTACCATTCATTAACCCGACAAACGAAAGCAACGGATGAAGTTCGGGTTAGCTAAACCCACCATCAGAACCCTGTAACCCGGGGCCATGTGCCGGGTGATCGCACTCAATGCCTCTGTAAGGCTTGCGATAGGTTTTCAAAACTGAGGGGTAAGAGGGTGCCGTGGCACTCGGAGTGCTGAATCCTCCATGGCTGAAACTAACACCTTAAAGCCTAACCAGGGCTTGACTAACCAGTGGTTTTGGGGGTTCCCTTGGATCTTTAGCACCTTATTTCATACGGATTATCATCATCCCTGGCTCCTTAGCTCAATGGATAGTTGAGGCATGAAGGACTCGTGCTTAACGGTGTGCCCTCTCCGAGTGGCGACATCATGGTTGACCCTAAACCCTAAACCCTAAACCCTAAATCCTAAAATCCTGAACCCTAAAACCCTGAACCCTAAAACCCTGAACCGTAAGACCCTGAACCCTAAACCCTGAAACCCTAAAACTCTAAACCCCCCTATATAATGGTGTGCCCTCTCCGAGTGGCGACATCATGGTCACCAACTTGAAGAGCTCCCGAAATGCACGGACCTTCTTCAGAAGCCTCGTAGGCGCCCGGGAGTTGGGAGGACGTTTACATTATCAGTGCTAAACCATAAAGCTCTAAACTCTATGACTACATAGACCCTCAACCCTAAGCAATAGACCCTAAACTCTATAGACCCTAAGCCCTAAACCCTAAATGTTTTGCGATTCCGGCTGTGATCATTGTTAAAGGGCTGCTGCTACGACGACGACTGCTGCTAGCAGCACGATGCAGAGCCGACATGCATATGCACCCCGTTTGCCCGGCAAGCCCAATGCACGTAGGGGCAGTAGTACTTGGACTGGACTGGGGTTTGGGGGTACATTGCATAAGTCTATCGGGACTGTAAGCGGGTAATACTAACGTTTCGACACAGGTACTACATGTTGGGAGCAGCCTGAAACTTGCATCTCAGTGCTGCCGAACTCACAAGAAGTCGCAAGAACCACCTATTTCTGCTTAGGGTTTAAGGTTTGGGTTTACAGTAGACCCAAAAAGTTGGAAACCGGATCAGACAAGTAGTGCTGGGATTCCTTATGTACTACTCCTGAGGATCGAGGGTATTGGTTTTCCAACTTCTGGGCTTCTTCTACTGTAGCTCTACTGCTTAGTGTCGGCTCATAGAGGAACCCTGCTTAACCCCGCAGCCTCAGCTCTCCACCTTCGACCCAAAAACACCGAATCCTGCGTGTCTCGGCACAGAAGAGGCCCTGAACATATACACGAACCCCCGAAAGAGCGGGATCCGTCCTACAAAAACAGGTGTCTAAACTAGGATCCGTTTTGGGGGTCACCAAAATAGAACGAACAGCACCTTACTCAAAGGCACACTACAAGGCACCCTGATTTGGAGCCCATGTACCTTCCCCAATTCGTAAGAAGTCCTGCCTTGGATCCTAAACCCCTGAACTCTACAGTAAGGACCCCTAAACCCGAAATCCCAAAAAAGCCTTACACCTCGAAGCTCCTCAGCACTTAAGCCTGATCGCTTTTGGGGTTTAGGGCTTGAAACCTGATACATACGGCTGATGATAGAAAGCCTGCATTACCCATAACAAGGAATATACCATAACTCCCATAGTCTAGGGTCCTTAAGGTAATGCAGGATTTATATCATCAACCGTACTTCTTGAAACATGCGCGGATCTCTGAGGAATCAAAAAAACTTGCCTCATGAGCCGAATGATGCGTGCCAACCGGAGCACGCCTCGGAATGGGGCGGCTGTGTTTCCCAGAGCCTCCAAAACCCCTTAATTAAGGAAATATACCTTAAATTATAATAGGATCCCTAATATGATTTAAGGTATATTCCTTAATTAAGGGGTTTTGGAGGCTCTGGGTTTGGGTGGGAGTAGGGATTGAGGGTTCTGGTGCGTGGGGTATTTCCCTTGGGGGGTTGGGTGGCGGTTTTTGGTATTCGGGACCGATTTGGGACACTCTAGTTTGTTAGACCCCAAAGCCCGAACCCTAAACCCAAACCTGTCAACCCCAAACCCAAAGCCCCAAACCCTAAACCTGGACCGTAAAGCCTAGACAAAAACCATGAACCCGGAACCCTAAACAAAGCCCTTTTGCCCTGCATCCTTATCAAACCATGAACCTCAAACCCTAAACCAAACCCGTTAGCCCTGAATCCTTCATAAACTCTGAACCACTATACTGAACTTAGAACCCGAGCGAAAATTGTAATTTTAGCTGTTTCTTAGGGATTATAATAACCAAAAATTTAAAAATATTTCTAAATACCCCGAAGACCAGAGCCTTTAGCCCTGAACCCATTCACCCGAAACCCTGAAGCCCAAACTCTGAACCCCTTAAACTTACAGAACCCTTACAGGAACCCTTAAAACGGAAACCTTCAAGGAACCCTAATACCTAAACCACCCAACTACCCTCTAAAATACCTGAAATACACGCTATTAGGGGCCACAAGGGGGGGACAGGTGTCATGTCAAGGTGCGCATGACTCATAGGTACCCTTAGGGGGGTAGGGGGAGGGGGGGCAGGGCCTTGATACCCATAAGAAGGATCTATTGTAAACTCCAAAAAGTTGGAAACCCAATTAAGGACAAATCGTGCTGGGATTCCCTATACTTAGGGATTGAGGCTATCGGGTTTCCAACTTTTAGGCTTCTGCTGTAATAAAAGTATTTAAGGAAATATAGTCCCCTCCCCCCTAAGGGTCCCTATGAATGACTCTCAATCCAGAGAGACCTTCGCAACCCACAGATTGCTGAATCCCTTCACCACGGGAGGATCCTGATATTTGGGCAACATAGGAGCCTAAACAAAAATACCAATCTTATTTTGGGGATCTCCTATGATCATCTTAGTATAACCTACTCCCAAAACCCTATTCTAATTATTAAGGCCCCTGTAGCACCATTGGAACTCCAAGGAACCCCTATAACTATACCTGATTCCAAGCTTTGTGCCTTGCTCACTAAACCCTAAACCCTAAACCCTGAACTCACCAAACCCTACCTTAACCCTGAAGGACTTATATAAGGAAGTCATAATAAGGAACCCTAAAAAGGTAGGTAAACCTTGCTCCAAGACACGCATGACCTGCATGTTCACGTTCAAGCTCTGCTCAGCCACGGCCTGCATGAGCAGCTCGGCGTAGCCTCGCAGTTTAGGCTGTACTTGGAGGGTCGAGGGACTTACTGCTGATGGACAAAATCCTGCATTACCCATTGTAAGGAATATACCATGGTTCCCATAGTTTAGAGTCCTTAGGGTCATGCAGGATGTTGTCCATCAACAGTAGTAACCAGGGTTATAATTAAGGTAAGTATACTTGTTTTTACTTATTAACCCAATTAAGGTACCTATAACCCTACTTGCTACGTCCCAGAAATCCTCCAAGTGGGGTTAGGGGGTATAGCAAACCTTACATCCTACAGTGTACTACACTCAGATTAATGAAGCTCAAGCCCAAACCCTGAAACCCTAAACCCCTTAATTCTACTCCTACACCCTGACCAGGGAATCCTCAATCCAAGACTCTGACTCTCGGTAGCAAGACTTGTTTGCAGGGTGCGGCGTTTTGGGCTGTAGGGCAGTAGGACTTGAGGCAGCAATGATCAAAAACCCTAAATAATAACAGGTTCAGGAGGGAATCACGTAATGAAATAGAGGAGCAGGATCTGGGCTGCAGTGTACCACAACCATAATGGGGAGCATAGTTAACGCGATTGCCGGCTTCATCCTGCTTCTACGTCTAATTATTCCGCCCTTGTGCATTACGATTTAGATTCAGATTTAAATCGCTTCAGGACTTGTGGTGTTCATATGCTGCTGTATTTTTTGCGCTTAACCGTGAACCACAAACCCTCAACCCGCTAATCTCCGACCCGTAAGTTCAAAACCCAAACTAAACACTGAAATCCCAACCTAAGCGTCGGAATAATTATCACATTCCTGAGCATAGCTCTGCTAGAGAATCCCCCGAAACCCTGTTCTAATATCATGGCCCCGATATTACAAATTACACCCTCAACCTGGAATATAAACACTAACAGAACCGTCTGGAAACCTTCAAAAACCCTTCCGAAACCCCATGTGTCTATAAGAGCCAATCCTAAACCCTAAACCAAGAGACCCAAAACCCTCATAACCCGGGAGCCTAAACCCTAAACCCTAAACCATAAACCTTAAACCCATAATTTTAAATCCTGGCAGGGCCTGCGAGAACAATGAAAACGTCGACAATGACGACTACTTCTCGCAGGCCTCCCATTTTTCTTCTGTTGATTGGTGCCATTATATGGGTGGTTGTCAAAATTATGGTCCCTTTTTGGGTCCCCATTATAGTACGGCACCTATTTTTTAGGGTACCCAAAAAGCAACCCTAACTTTGACAACCACCCATATTGCTTAAGGATTTACTTCTACAGAGTGTTTTAGTTGTTTGCTGGCTGGTTTCTAGGCACTGATGTTTCTGTTCATTTTTACACATGTATGTTTATGCATACGTACATGCATACTTCTACGTCTAGACTACTTCTACGTCTAGACGTGTTGTCCTGTTTATGTTTTGTTCAATGATTGATTTATCATGGTACGTCATGAGCGTGCATATAACCGATTTAGTGCCGAGAGCGTTGGTTTCCTTTCAATTAGTGGCTCGGGCGAAAGGGCTTAAGGTAAAAGCCAGAAAGTTGAAATATGATTATCCTAACCCTTCTATGGTAAATTATAGTGTATCCTACCATGAAACCATATTCCAACTTTCTGGAGTTCCGTGTAGGGGTTGGGGCATCGGGTTGAGGGGTGATGAGCTTCAGGGTTTCTGTGGTACATGTTTTGAAGATTCCTCTCAAACAAACGATAAACGAAAAGCACCCTAAACCCTAAACCCTAAACCCTAAACGAAAAGCAAAAGCACTTAACCAAGAGCCCCAAAGATTCCTGCAAAAAGGATTGACTCTGGGCTTTGAGATTCCAAAAATCATACTTTGGGGTGGGCCTTCTCAACACCCCAGCAACTTGTGGCATGGGTATACCTTAGAAGGGGCCCCCACCCTGTAATAGTGGTATAATCGGAATATAATAAGGCCCAAATATAACCCTTATAGTCACTATTACAGGGTGGGGGCAGCGTCTAAGGTATACCCCAGCCCCGCCCCCTAAGGTATTCGATCGAGGTTCTGGAACCCTTCAACCCGAACCTCCAAGCCCAGAAGCCTGCAATTTAGAGGTTTAGGGTTTAGGGTTTAGGGTTTAGGGTTTAGGAGTTAGGGGGTTTTAGGAGTTAGGGTTTTTCCCAGAGGGTCCAAATCTACTACCATTATGGAATTAGGTCCTCAAAACCGTAACAGGGATGGTCTTTTGAGACCGAACCCCATCATGGTAGTATATGTGGAATTAGGGACTGCTGGAAAAGAATGCGGGGGCTTTTGGACCGAGGAGTGCGTGGCTTGCGTTCAAGTGGAAAGAATTCATTACTTAAAGGGTCATGGAATCTTGTAACTAAGGCTATAATTAAGGTAACTATACTTAACACTACTTATGACCCCAATCTCCATAACCTTACTCTAAGCGGTATGGCCACTTAAGGCTGCGCCCAGGCAGCGAACCTGCCAGAAAATCAAAAAGCCCTTAATTACAACCCCTTAAGATACCTCTATAAAGAACCCTAAGCCCCAAATCCCAAACCTCTAAACCTGCAACCATAAACTCTCACTCATACTACCTTTAGAGTAGCCCTGAAGGGCGCCTTTAAGGGTGAAGTACCCTGCGGCTTTCAAGAGGGTCTTGGGCTTTCGGGGTCAGAGTTTCGGCGTTGGGAGCTAGGGTTTGGGAACTGACTACAAAACTCCAGGAGCCTTGGGGTAAGGGCTCCTGCAAGAGATCCCCCCGAAACCCCTAAACCTAATTAAACCCTAAACCCCTAAACCCCTAACCTATAAACTCTAAACCCTAAAGCCTAAACCCTAAAACCTAAACCTTAAAGGAGCTCACGCCCAGCCTGCCCACTTCCTCAAGTAAAGCGTGCCAGCCAACTCGAAGGTGTAGAGCGCCAAGCAGATGTCCTAGGGTTTAGGTTAGAAGGCGCCCCCACCCTGTAATAGTGACTATAAGGATTATATTAGGGCCCTATTATATTCCTATTATACCACCGTTACAGGGTGGGGGCAGCTTTAAAGGTTTAGGCTTCTAGGGTTTGGGGTTGGGAGGTTTCGATTTTAAAATAAAACACAAAAACGACACACTCCACGTTCAAAAATCCACCTACCCCAACCCCCAACCCTAAACCCTAAGCCCTAAACCCGAAACCCTTAAACCCTAAACCCTAAACCCTTAAACCCTAAACCCTAAACCCTTAAAAACCCCAAACCTACACCTTTTTTGAGCGACGAGAAGCTGATATCGTCATCCACAGAGACGGCGGAGGTGCATTGGCAGCTCTAGCATCGATATCTTGGCCTCAGTAGGCTAGGATACCCAGTAACCTAAGAATAAAAAGGCCTCTCTTTTTGGGATTGGGTAACTTTATAAGGAACCTAGGACTACGAAAAGGGAATAAGGGTACTACTGGGCATCCTAGGAAGGGCTTGGGGCTTTAATGATTAAAAAAATGAGGTTTGGGGGAGGGGGGGGGGGCTTAATAATTAAAATGAGCTTTTGGGCTCCTCATCATATTTATAATATAATATGCCCGCAAACATAGTGATTTCGATTCTACTTGGAGGATCATGCGACTTAGTAAGAAAGGTTACAAGAACCTTAAAGAGCGTTATAAGTAATTCTATAAGTAGTTGTACTTTTTTATAACCCTAGTTACTAAGTCGCATGGCCGTTTAAGTAGGGTGTGGGGCTTTACGAGCTTAAGGTTTAGGGTTTATAGTTTAGGGGTTTAGCGATTAGGGCTTGGGACCTTATGGGCTTGAGGTTTTGGGCTTAGGGCTTTGAAGGCTTAAGCTTTGGGAAGCTTGCAGGTTTAGGGCTTCAGTGTTTTGGTTTGGGGCTTGGGGTTTAGGGTTTGAGGGCTGAGGGCTTCAGTGTTTGGATTTTGGGGTTTCGCATCGCATCGATATTTTGGCCTCAGTGACAAGTGCTGGTTAGCTGGTTTCTGAGGTTCTATATTGTCTTGTAACGGGTGTTACGGGGTGCTTGTTTTGCAAGGGGTTCTATGAAGTCTCATAAGATGTCACAAGCGGGGTCGTAAGGAAATTTACGAGTTGTAAAGTTTGCTTCGTGGCTCTACGACAGAAGCAGGAATGGGGCTTAATGGGCCTTGCTGCAGACCGCCTCGCACTCGGACCAGATGCCGGCACATCTGCGCCAGGGTGCTTCTAGAAGCACAGATCGCGAATGTATCAATGATGAGAATTAAAGTCACCCACCTTCCGATCCCACCAGGCGATGTAGTCGATGATGTCGGCATCTTTGTGAGCATCCTGGCTAGCCTGACGGGTTTCTCCGATCCTCGGCCTCCCCAGCCGATGCGGACTCGCGCCCGTGGCTGGCGAGCAGCTTCAACTCGTCGGCGGCTCATGCGCGCATGCCCTGGAGCCCACAACCATCCCCAAAGGGTCCTATGTACTGTTATGGGGAATACTTCCCCAAATCATACTAGCAATTCCCAATATAGAAACCCTACATTCTACTACATCGATACTTTGGACCCTTTGGGATAACGTAAGGCCTAGTTCCTTTACCCGGAATGTGGCCAAAACATGTCTACGCTGCCTTTCGAGGCCTCAGGCAAGACACATCTGACGGCATTTCTTGGCTTTAAATCATTATGTTGCTGCGCAGGCCAGGCTTTTTTCTGGTTTAGACTACGGTCACACCCTGTTTCAGGGTGTGAGGTTTAAGGTTTAGGATCTCGGTGTTGTGACTACTGGCGATAGCATGCGTAGTTTCGACGTTAACCCTGCTCCGGAGCGTCAGAAAAAGGCGGTATAGAATACACCAAAACCGTTAAGCCATGAGCGGTTGCGCTAACCTTTTACTCAGAGGGCTTGGGCACAATAGTCAGCGGTATATAGTACACAACATGATGACTGTACATGACCATACAAACTCCTACGCAAGCTGCGATGCAAAACTACACCCCCCTCACCTAAAGGCACGGTCACTGCATTCAAAAACACAGCATACCTTCGCCTGCAGGTGGAAGAGCGCTTCGGCTCGGAGTTCGACGATCGGCGTGGAGTTGCCTCCCGCGTCATCAGTTGTATCAGCAAAAGTACATGTGACTATCGTGTGCCTCGAGGAAGGGTGCAAAAACTGCTTACGAGCTTTTCTTCAAATGTAAGACGCTGGTTTCAGCGTGGAGCAAGGACGATAGGAGTTCGCCGCACAGCCACTTGAAAAATATCACAGGCCGGGTGAACATCCCTCTTGCTCGAAAGAATCAGACTACTGGGTCGGCTTATCAGTACCAACGCCATCCGCGATTGCGCCACTCACGCCAGTCCTGGTTGTCCCAGTTCTGGCCGCGCCATGATCCCCAGGATGACGAAGACCAATTCTGCCACCAGGATTGATCATCCCAGTCCCAGTCGCGGTCGGTGCGATCGGCGGCCTCGGCGTTAGCCGGGCGTTTGCCTTTTCCCTTCTCTGCTGCTCGGGCATACGTAGAGCCCTTGCCACCACCTGGCGGATGCTGCTGGGCATACTTCGGCTGGGCAGCACGACTTTGATTGGCCTTTTTGATGGTCTCATCAACCGTCTCCACCATGAAGGGTAGGTCCTTTGCCAAAACGGTCTGTAGGTCCGCACCCACTGCAGCGGGATCGTAGTTGAGAAGATCCACCTTGCCGTGGCCAAAAGTCTGTAGACGGATGCCCCCCTTTTGCCTGGCGATGTTGTGAGCAAAATCTTGGAACGAAAGGATGGCTCCGTACCAAGTAAATGCTACTGGCGTATCCTCCGGCGTGGACGTTAGTCCCGCTGCGCACAACTTGCCGCCAATGCCATCGTCTCCGGTAAAGAAAACGATACGACACTCCGGAACCTCGTCCGTGCGGATCTGGTGCGTGGTACTCGCCGCTCTGGAGGATCCAATAGCCAGCATGCGTTGCGATCGAGTGCGGCCAGGGTTCGGAAGGTAGGCGAAGCAGAGGCAGTCGAGGGCACGAATCGTCCTGCGCGTGTATCCCTCTTTGGCCATTGAAATTGCGTATTCATTGTCATGATTGAACCTCGCTACGCAATCAGTGTAGCCCTTTTTCACGGCTCTCTGCTTTGCCACTTTGGCTTTCCGAATAACCTCGCCTTCTAAGGAGTTCATGCCACGGCCGGCGACATCTTTCGATGCGCTTTGAAGGCTTGGCCTCACTCCCACTCGTTCAGCGGCATCACCCATCTCCTGAAGCAGAGCTTCACGCCCACGTGCCAACAGCGTCCGTCTGCCCTGTGCCTTCAATTGACCTGGTCGAACTGGCCCTCCGCATTGAGAGCAAATCCTTTGGCCTTGAAGACACTCAGCTTTGCAGTGGTAGCATTTGATCTTCTCCAAAAACGCGGCGGATGGCTTTGTCTCACTACCAGCATAAAGTACTGGTTCTGGCCTTCCCACCGGCTCCTGGATTGCTTCAACGGGTGTACCCTCAGCATCCAGCGTCACCGTTGTCGCCATTCCGTCACCGATGTACACGGTCCTGATTGGAGGACCCGGCTGCGCAATGATGGTGCCTGGTTCAACAAGCGGCCTCTCCTCTACGGAGGGCATTTGCTCATCATCAGGGGCTTCATCGTCGTCAGCCTTTGCAGGGGCATCGGTGATAGCCAACGATCCCTCAAGCACATCAGCGACGTCCGGAATGGGCGGTAGGGATGTTTCCTCAGCTGGAAGGGTACCATGTTCTTCATCAATAGGCGGTGCGAAATTGTCCTGAGTCGTCTCCTCGGGCTCGGGTTCATCAAGAACGATGTCGATGCCGGCCTCAGCGTTAGCTGGGCTTTCTCCCTGCTCTTCGTCAGGAGGTACAGTGCCCCCTGCACGGGACCAGAGTACGACATCGCGCTGAGTATCGTTGATGAATAGGATTGTTGATCCTGGCACTGCTTCGGAACACAATATGCCGTCCGATTCCGTGACGAATAGATCGCAAGCAGCTTCCAGGACCTCCCGAGTGTCAAAGACGATCTCGATCGGTGAGCTCGCACGGAGTCCTGAACGTGCCTTCTGCTCCTCGAGCGGCAGCGGCGCAAAGTAGCAATGCGCCTTCTCAGAACCCCCAAAACCCGGCAACAAACGATCTTCCAGAATCGCATACGCCGCATCATGTGTTGTGCGGTGATAGAGCCTGGGCGGCGCCTTGTCAATCGGGATCAACGGCCTGCCCTCTCGGGCGGCATTAGCCAACTCCTCAGAACGCTGCAGCGTAAGATATGCCTTTGCAATAGAGGCATTGTCGAGCTGCAGATTGCTGGAGTGGCCTTGCGTACACCCGACGTAGACCGGAAAAGCCGGTTGCCCAATTGCATCGGCAGCACTGTCCATTGGCCCGCGAAACATAAGGCGCTGTTTGTTGTCGGTAGCGATCATGTCGAGGAGGCTTCCCAGACCAATGTTGTTTCCAGGTCTGCATCGATTGGCAACCTCAAGCACTTCCATGGCCAATACCCATGGCCCGCTCCACGATCGCAGTTTAAATTGATTACCCTTGTTTTCGAAGTTTCCTCTGATGAGTCCAGTGACGAATGTAACCATTTTGTGATCACATCTCGGGTAGTGTAGGCCTGGCGTCATGTCCTTTTGGAACACTTCGATGTACTGGTCGGCCTCCTCTTGCGAGGGGCATTCGTTCCAGTAATCATACAGGGTAATGCCAGTCATCTCGGCGAAGTCATAGGTGTCGTTCATGAACCTCATTCCGCGCGATCCCTGCACTGCGAGCTTGGTCAATCGCTGCTTGTCGGCCTCAGCCTTTGCGAGGCGAGCTCTTTTTGCAGCGTGCTCGGTGCCAGAGTCGCCAGACAGAATGCCTCCACCATAAATGGATGCGTCGATCGGCATCGGTCGAATATCGCCAGAAGACGAAGCTGCAGTACTCGCCGGGGTAACGGCCTCCACCTTAGGTGGGGCTTTGTTCCATTCCGGCGAATTGATCTCCTCTTCTGTTGCGAACACACCGGGTGCGACGCTGATGACGTTCTGAATCTTCATCTCCTTGAGGAAGTCGGGGACCTCAGGCGCGGGCAGTTCGGCGTGACTTTCGTCACGCTTCTCCTCCCAGTATGCGTCGTCCCACGGATCCTCCTCCGTTGGCTCCGCCTTGACTTGCTTGCTTCTCGTCATCCTCGCAAGAGCCGCTTGCAGGACATGGTTATCGACTGCGTAGCGACCACGGGAATCAAAATAATTGTCAGCAAGCAGTGACTGGAAGGCGGATTCGCCCATTTTTGCTATCGCTCTGGAGGCGTAGCGCTCGGCGATCTCGATCTGCATGATGTGGGCTAAACCCGAAACC